GCCTCTAGTATTAATAATCAGGGTGTAACACACTTTCATGAGAGGACAAGGCTCTGTGGTCAGTGTCAGACAATTCTATGACACCAGTGGGCTCTAGCTAGTAAAATGTCTGTGAAACTGGAGTTAGTGATTTTGGCTGAAAAGTATTAATTAAGCATGGTTTAGATATGTGAATGGCAATAGCAGAGAAGGGCTTTCATGCAGCTGCTTGAGACAGAGCACCAGAAATCGCAGGTTAGACAGGGAGAAATGGCTTGTGTGAAAGTTAATGTTCTCCATGCTCATAGAACTCCGTGCAGGCTTAAGGGCATTATGTGGCTTTGGGTTGAGTCACCCAAGTCTCATGGTCTGGATGAGACTAATGATGATGACAATTCACGCGTGTCTAGTACTTTTTGTGTTTTTTAAGAGCTATTATTAAACAATTCTGTAGCAAATCATGCGGATGTCAGGGAAAGAGCCTAGCCTGTCAGCCCCCAAAGCCTGCCAGCTATACGAGTGGGCAGAAGGGAAGGTTTGGGTGCTGCTCATGATTCCACTGTGAGTCTATTCTGAATCACTTCCTTTGAAACTTCAGAAAGGTTGAAGGGATCAGCCGTAGTTTGGCACATGGTATGAGTTTTGCATTGCCTTGTCTCTTGAAACAAAGAAAAAGTCCATCTTTTGCATAACTGTGTTAAAGCCAGCCAAGTAGCATCAACATAAAATTAATGATTTGACCTTCCCACACTATTGGAAAAGGTGGAATATGTGTTAAGATTTGGATTTGACAATCATGTTTCTTTCTTAACTCAAAATTAGTCTATAAGTCTCAGCATGGAAAAAATAATTTAAGGTGTTAATTTAGTTTAGACTCAGTCTTTTATTTTTGATAAATTTTGTATAGATATGATTAGAAATATTTCAATTAATTCAGTTGAAGGTCCCCATTGTCTGGACATCACAATATGAGACAATTAAATAAAAACTGTGAGTTCCCTGACAAGTCTGGATAGTATGCTCTGCATCGGTGTTTTGACATTTTTAAAATGTTGTAATTACTGTCTTCATAGAGGAGATGCTGGTTTTATACAATTTGCTTAAACTGTGAAATGTCATGTGAGTTTTAGGTACTGCTGTAGTTCTTTTTCCACACTTACTGCTTCGTGAACAGATTGTCTATACTACAGCAATGTTACAAACATTTTTTATGGTAGGTGTAGTAGATACCATTGAAATAAAAACAAAGCATGCTGTCTCAACATTACTTTAGGGCAAAATGACAACTAATTGCATGGCTTCAAAACCAGTTTTAAGAATTGGAATTGCCACATTTCTGCCCGGGGTTTCCTGGACACCCTCATGGTCTTCCATGCTGCATGAGCAAGGATTCCTGGGAGCTTTGGACCTGGTCAGCACATGTGCAATAAGCCTGATACTTCCCAAACTTGTCCTGGTTTACAGTATGATATGCTGGAAAGTGTACATGTGTAATTGTAGCCTACAAGTAGTTCCATTAAGCCTATTTGTGTAAATCAGCCTATTTATTTTCAGCAGTTGGAGTTTAAGGAATTGGCTGCCTACTAAGTGGAATTCTGACTACAACTGGATCTCTGGGTGGTAAAGGAGCATATATTATAGTATTTTAAAACCATGAATAGGCTGAGGTTTGATGACAGATGAAACAAATTCTCTCTAAACAAAAATGAACTTCACTTAATATTTAAGTGAATCTGGGATGAGCTGCAAGATTCAAATGCAAAGTGAGTAGATGTGGTATCTGCTTTCATGGCAGAAGTTCTTCAGAAATTAACCCAAAGTTACTGGAAGAGATGCTGATATTTCAAACAAATCTAGGTCCAAAATCAATGAGCTTGTTACTTTTAAGTAATCAAATAGAACTTTATGATCCAATCCCCAAATTTAATATTGTCTTGGGCTTCACAGAGTATATTTAATTATTAACAAATTTAGGCCTGCCTTGTTCTACAGGGAAGAGAGAATCAAGAAGGGAAAACAAAAGAGAAGCCTTTTTCCTGTCTAGGTCATTTATGTTTAATACACCTGATGACTGGACAACTTCCAAAATAATGTCAGGCTTTGAATATGGAACATTTGTAGCCAAGGTAGAAATCACTCATGAGGCAGGGTGAGAGAAGCTTCATCCCATAGCAGTAGTTGTGGGCTACATCATTCTGTGCAGAGTAGTTGTTTGTGCTGTTGTCGTAAGAAAGCATCTGTTGGGATCTGCAACCTGAACATTTGTTGACTGCATTTGTGACACTGTGCATACGTGGTGATGGCTTTTGAGAATGCGGTGCTTTTCTGTAGGGGGTGTGGCCACAGCAGGTCTCTAGTCCATCAGCTTTCCCCAGGACCAGTGCTGTGCATGGCTGCATCTGGCACTGGTGGCAGTACTGTGACTGTTCCAGAATCATGTGTTGGAACTTGCTGAGGTTATCGTTCTATGTTAATCCACTAGCTTCTCATCAGTCTGTGAAACTCAGCCCTGTTGTAAGACATTAAGTCATCCAGGAAAGAAAAATTAATTTGTTAGTGTCCTCTTCCACACAGGTTCCTTATTCTTGACTTCAAAAACTCTCATGACATGGCTGTCATCAGAGAAATTTCAATAGAACTATTTTTCCCTTGAAGAAAACAGTTGTGTCATTTTGAGAAAACACGTTAGTCTTGCATAAATTTTACAAAACTAGAAATTATGTCCTCTTGGTATTTTTTTATAGCATATGATAATAAAAATATTAGGAACTGTAATCGTCAAGACTGTTAAACAGCTATGCAATATATATCAATTTTATCTATGTTAAATATTTTTGTAAGCCTAAATAACTGGGGAGGTGGATGGGAAAAGAGATATTTTTTACGTTCTTTTTGTGGAAAGGCAATACAAATAGCCATAATGATTATTCTTTTGCCTATGGTGAAAGTATTTAAGATTGGATGTACAGCTTTTGAGCTCTTTTGGACAAGCAGTCATCAATATGCTTGAACTCCTACCTGTGCTGTGAATAATGGTTGGCTTCTCATACACCATATAGTCTGGATCTAATCTGGTATTTTATCTCCTTGTTTCCCATTACCTGTGGAAAGGAACATTCCTTGCAGTTTACACTGAGTAGATACACTGTAGATAGAATAACCTGTTTACCAATGAACAAAAGCAATGTAAGGTACATACCTTGATTACTATAATTTGTTTTCACATTTATACTATAGAAGAAAATAGACTGTCAAGCAAAAATGACATTAGGAAGGTTGCTTGTTATTCACATAGAATGTGTCAATGCATTAATTGCACTTTGGCTCTTTTAGGAAAACAATTATATAGCACCTTTTCTTTCAGATAGATGGTAGAGACACCCCCTTTTAATATTTGGAGAAGACTGGTCTACTTTTCCCTTTCTTGCACATGGAACTCTGGGTAAAATTAAGATAAAAATGAGTCATATTCCTCTCTTCACTGGGAATAATAGGGGACTCCAATTAAGTGTGGTTTGCAGTTGTCATTCTATTCTGAAGTTGCAACCATTTTCTTCTCTTGATGAAAGGTGGGGCAGCAGCAGATAATTCACATTGCTTTGAAGCATCCTGATCTTTCCCCATTTTCTTCACACACATGATTATTCTTATTTGTGTTGTTATTATTATTAACTCTTTCTTTGGTATTCCTCTTAAACATTTGTTTGTCATCTTTTTTTTTATTTTTGCTCCCATTTTACTCAGTCACAGACTTTCCTTGGATGATACCATTTTCCCACTGTACTTGTTGCATTGTGTAGGCAGTATCTTTCCAACATAAAGACAGAGTGTGATCTCCTAAAAGCCTCTAGCCCTTATACCTTTTGTTCAATATCTGTAGTGAATTGTCTGAGGTGCTCCCTTCACTTAGGCTTTACGTACACTGCTTGTCCAGGGTTCCCAGGCTAAAGGCCAGAAAACAAATTTCACAACATAACTATGCCACCTAAATTATTCATTTATTTTATTTTATTCATTGTTTTCAGCCCCATGCTGCTTGCTATTGGAAGTTACTTCCATGTGCAAATCTTTACAGTATTATTAAATTAAAATCCATCTAAGACATCTTTTAACATTAAATAAGCTTACTGTAGTACATATTGAAGCTCTGACATGGATTGGCAATAAGATGTTTGTGTGTGAGTGTGAACTCAGCAAGAGGTAGCCTTTCAAAATGAAGGGAAATACTGTCAAGATGAATGAACACAAAGCAAGAAGTTAATTCATGTGAATTCTTGTATAATGTGTATTTGATGCTCCTCTAGCTGCCCCAGCAGGCTGAATAAGAAGAGCTTAAAGATCATCTTTCATGGAGTATTTAACAGCATAATGTTTTTCTAGTTCAGAATATCTGTGCAGCTTGCTTAGCTTTTGCCTCAGATATATCACACAACATCAAACCAATATAAGCTTTCTGCTTTTCTCTGGCTAATAATTGGAACCTGTTGCTCAAACTAGTTCTGAAAGTGAGGATTGACATATATATTAATTTTAAAGGATTTACTGTGAAGGGATGACAATGAGGTAATTAAGGAACTTTATGATCATAAAGGCCAATTATACAAAATTTCATATTTTAAAACTTTTATTATTATTTAAATATTTTGTTTTCAAATACATTTGAATATTCAGTCAGTTTTGCAGTAATGTGGCTTCCAAGACTTTCACAATGTATTTACATCATCTGCATGTTTTTGTTAATGGTATGTTAAAAGTGTTAGATACCTCACAAAAATATGTTGTATTGCTATTTTTTGAAAGGCTGAAGATTTGGCTTGTGTCTCAGCCAAAGAAGGGAAGTATGAAGAAGGTGATTGAAAGTGCTAGCACTCTTTCTGAACAAATCAGTACCTGCTACTTGTTGCTGCTGGTTTGCATTGAAAGCACTGTACTTGAAAATAAATCATTTCCAGGTCTTCAGTGAAGCATTAAGTCCAACCATTTGTAATTATTTTTTTTCTTTTCTTCCCTTTTGATAACAGAATTCAATGTAAGTTGCAGATATGGAGGAGTTTTTCATGTTGAGAAAAACGGTCGCTACAGCCTCACACGATCTGAAGCAGTCGAACTCTGCAAAGCTCTCAATAGTACGTTGTCAACACTAGAGCAGTTGAAGAAAGCTCACGAACTTGGATTTGAAACTTGCAGGTAAAAAAAGTACTGAAAAAATAACACATCATGACAAATCCATCCATCCATGCTATAGTGTAATAATTACAGTTGACTTCATATAGCTGTTAATTAGATGGCCATATCACTCCTCAAATAATTTATATTCTGTGATGAACATTCGCTGCATGTCTATGTTTGCTCTGGGTTGGTAGTAAAAAAGTCCTTGAGTGCACATATTTTTTACTGATTATCTTTAAAGTCATAACCTATTACAGATAAAATCAAAGTATAAGAAAATATTGACAGTAAAATAAACTATTTAGGAAGATTTCAGATCATACTCTATCACTAATTGGCAAGATAAGTACGTGAAAAGTATTTATGATTTTTAATGACCTAATGTTAAGTCAAAACTGAAGGTGGTATACACAGTATAGGGAATTCTGTCTTGTCAAGAAACAATAAAAAGTAGCAAGTGGTCCTGTGACAGATGAACTCTTGACATCTCAGTGAAAAAATGGCCACAGTATCAGTTCATTCTTATATTCTGTGACTTGAGAAGTTTCAGAAGACAGCCATAAAAATTAAATACCCCAAACTATGTTGTCAAGTAACTTAATTACCCTCTGTAATTAATAGGGCAAAAAATGTGGATAATACAGACTCTTTAGTTTAACAAAAAATAACTAGATCAAGAGACTGGGAGTTACAGAAAATTTTGGATTAAAAAAATTGCATACTGATAAAACATAATATGTAAGGATAATAATTATTGGCTGAAACAGCTTACAAGGGTTGTAGTAGATTCTTTATCACACCAAAATTTCATCAAGATGAAATGTTTTCCCCAATCAAGCCCATGAGAATTGATTAAAGCTCCTCTTTAATTAATAGTATCCATAAAAATAATTTATAATCATGGAAAGATACATGTGCAGTGCCTTGAAAACATTCATATACATATGTATGTCATGCACTGCTATTGATGATAGCATATGTCACATACATTTTCACAAGTCTTATGCCCTGAACAGTGGTGAAACAGGTGGACAGCAGGGCCAGGGAACAATGGGCTGAAAATTCTTAGAAGATTCTTCTGTGAGAAGTGGTAATGTTGTTTAAAATAGTACCACATAAAGACTGGAGACAGCTCTTTTCTCTGAGGGAAAAGCCCTGCACATCATAGCAGGCATGTTATTTTTCTAACATTAGCATATGAACATAGCATTCTGAATTGTGTAGCACTAAATGGGTAGAGATTTCTAGTGCTAACAATTATGAGTATTCTGCACTGTGGAAACTCTTTTCTGATGTTAAAATATAAAGATAATTGGGAAAAAAAAAAAAAGGATTATAGGAAAATGCTTGGGTTTTTGGTTTGTTTTTTGTTTGTGGTTTTGTTTTTTTTTTTTTTTTTCAGTAGGGAGCTGCATTTTTTCATTAATGTCACAATTCTCCCTAATTCACAGTGTAGCAGAGGACATATTTGGACATGTAAGTCATGTAGATAGGATTCCTTCCTCCCTTCCTTCCAGCCAGTCCTCTTACCCTCTTACTTTCATTTGTTGATCCTATGCTAGAAGTCCTTGTCAGTAAGGCTAGGCTCTTACCAAGCTTGTGTAGGAGAGAAAAAATATGATGCATATAATCATCAAAATACATGTGGAATGGTGAATGAGTAAAATGAATCAACAGAGCAATACACAAGTAAGGTGATTAATGAATTATAAAGTGTCAACAACATAGGCTTAGTTGGAAGTATGAGTAAAGCAATTTATAATTTCACCTACAAGAGAGTTTCAGAATTGCAAGTATCTGCACATCAGACATGTAACAGGAATGAGGCTCACAGATGAAAAACTGTAAAAACTATGAGATTTACTCATCCCTGATAAATTGTACTTCTCAGGAAGTAAAACAAAACTCAAACCAAACCCCAGTTCTCATTACCAACCTATCACACCTCCCAGCTAAATACACTGGAATTAACCAGGTGTCATGGGATTGCAAACTAGTAATAACACATTGTGCATTGTGTAACTCTGTTAACTGCAGTCTTCACTAAAATATGTGAACTCTGTACACAATAGCTACATTGTTTGACTGAAAGATACAGTAAGAATTTGTGAATGAATGAGTGTTGTATCTGAGTATTTTATTAAGCCGCCTGCTTTTACAGAAAGTGGTGTGTCTTACAATCATTCTCTAAATTTGCTCGGGTACTATAAATTGAGACCCCAACATTTCTGTGTGAAGTGTCACTGAGCAGTATGTTACATTCAAAGCAATGAAAATGTGACTCCCTGAAGAAAAAAGAAGCCGGTCTTCAGTGACAAGTAATACAACCTCACACTGAATAAAAAGTGCACTTGCCTTCCATTTTCATTGCCTTACTCTGGAACCAATTGTCCTAGGTAATAAGGTGCTGACTAATTAAAATGTGTTTAGCTTTATAAATTACATGCAAAATGTTGTTAAATGGCTGGAGTCTGATGTAGCTACATGTGAGAAAGGAACACCCTTCATATACAAAAAATATGCATAAATGCATGCACTTTTTAAAAATAATATAAGATGAAAATAATGGCTTCTTCATAGCTTCTTCATGTTTGAGATATCTAGAACATTTATGCCACCTGCTATAATATGTAATGTGGTGTACTTTCCTTTGTTCTTCATAGATATGGTTTTGTAGTGGGGAATATTGTTATCCCACGAATCAATCCCTATCATCTTTGTGCAGCAAATCATACTGGCATTTACAAACTTTCAACAAACACCACTGGTCGGTATGATGCATACTGTTACAATGCAACAGGTATGTATATGCCTTTAGGATGTATATTAGATACAGATTAACTGAAGATAATATGTGCAATCTTCTATTTAAGAATGAGGGCTTCTGTATTAAATACCATCTGGTTTTCAGCTGAGAAGAAATACGTTTTGTCAGACTCTAGGAGTGTATCTATAATGCCAGTGATGAATTTGACCCATTTTGTCATTAGTGTGTTTTGAACTAAACCATTTTCTGCCCTTAGGAATAGCTTCATAGCTTCCAAATTGTACATCATAACAGTTTACTGCAGAGATCCACTGCAGCGGTGAATCTAAAAGACCTAAGTGTTGTAGGCAATGCTGCTCAGCTCTTCTGTCCATGCACACATGAACTTCTATAATGAACAACAGTTATTTTGTGTTAAGGGATGCTAGGAGTGGCTGCCACCCGCCACTGCTCCAGGGCCCGGGGTGGCTGTCCCAGGCCCATGGAGGCAGCTGCTGCTCTTCTGTGTGTAGGTTCATCCAGCATTTGCTCCTAGGCAACTCTCCATTCAGACAATAGGCAGTTAGGTAGCCATGCGAGTCAGAAGCAGACCGCTTTCTTCTAAGGTTTTGAACCTTTAATAGTTGGAAATATTTTACTAAATTATTAGGAAAATGTAGATAATCTTGTGACAGATGATGAACACAGTATTTGAAGAAAAAATCTGGACTAACTTCAAGTGTCTTGGATTTCAGTAGATTATTAAATTAACAGTGGGAACAGGCAGATGCTACAGAAATCTGGAGGCAAAAGTCATTGATGATTTGAACGGCGGTGACATTTTCTGATTTTGTTCTTGGCGGTCATATCATTAAAAATCATCTTTGAATTGCCATTAGTATCAGATGATCTGACATCCTCTGTCACACACAGATGACTCTTATGCTACAGCAATGTCTAATTCCACCAGAGCTTTCTAACTCCTCCTGAGTCTTACACCTGCCTGGCACAATGAGCAGGAGGCCCCAAGTGTGGCAGTGCAGCCCACCAGAGCAAGCAGTGCTCACTGGTCCTGGGCACGCTCTGCCTTTGCAGAGCCCTCCACGGAGGGGACGGGGATCCCTTTGGCTAAAAAGGATTAGAGCTGCAACTGCCACCATTACAGCACAGTTGTCTGCATTGAAACTGGGTCATAAGGCTATTTTAACTGTCGTTGATTGCAAACATTTTCTGGGATGGTTATGGAAAAGGGGAATCTCATTGTTAGCTGACAGAACAATCTTGAAGTGCCCCACCTGGGAAGGAGTAAAAAGGGAACATAGGTAGATCAGTGAATAACATTTGATTTCAAAATTTGTTTTCAATTTTCCATATCTGAAGCTGATGTTTTGTGATTATGTATAATTAATATGGGTATGTACACGACATTTTTCTCAACTTAATATCTTCTATTTTCCTTCTCTTACAGAAACAAGGGACAAAGCGTGTGAGCCAGTTGAAAGACTAAATTCTTCTTTCCTCGATAATCATGATGAAATAGGTACTGTATTGTTTAGAAAGACCCGCCACTTGTTTCACTTTTAGGATCGGGTGGGGTTTCTTTTACATAAACAATTGCTAACATTAAAAATCAAGAAATACAAGAAGTCAAGAGATGTTCAACAGCAATTAAAGCAATTAGTCACTTGTCTTCCCCTAAATTCTATGGAGCTTGATTTGTCTCAACATGCTACCAAACATTTTTATACAGGTATTTGACATTTTTTACCACTTCACATCTGCTAATGATTCTTTGACATATAGGGCTTTAAGACAGCAATCTTTTTACATCTTATTTGAGCTGCTGGTTAAAGAAGCAGCTGGAAATGGAAGAAAACTCTCATAATAAATTATTTGTCCCAGTTCTAAAATTCTGATTGACTTTACATATTTTATGTTCAAAACCAAAGTAATCAAAATATCAAAATATTTGATACAGAATAGGCCTTGTATGTTTGACAAATATATACATTAGACATAGTTTAGTGAATAGATAGATTAGACAGGATGGCAAAAATGGATGGACTGATATTAATCCACACGTTTCTTTTTTTTTTTCTTTTTTTTTTTTTTTTTTTTAGATATAGGACTTAAACTGTTTAGCGTTACTGAAATATAGCTATGTAGCTCCTTGATATTATCAGCTGCTTAATTTTCTCTTTCCAACAGTCATTGACAATGCAGATGGCTCACGTTATAATGCAGATGGCACACGTCATAGCGGGGAGTCCTCAACTTCAGGTGCGGATGATGAAAATGTAGGTAGTGGATCAACACATGACACAACTCCCATGGATACCTCCATCAGGAGATCCAGCCCCTCATACTATGGAAGTGCTACTCCAGTCTCACAGCTGCCAGATCATTCTTCTGGAGGGGGTGAAAAAGAAATTCCTAGAAAAGATTCTGGTAAGGACAGTAGGTTACCACTATATCCCCTTTAAAATAAATAAGTGAAGAATTACATTGCTAGTTAAAGGACAGAATGAGGGAATGAGAAACATCATCTCTAATTTACATCCTGGAGAAGTAAAAGGAAAATGCGTGTCTGTCTTTGAAAGAAAATAGAAGCATTCTGAATTTCTAAGGATTTTTTTGATTGCACGTGCATTTGATATGCACATCAATATGGTTTCCCACATAAACCTTCCTAAAATGTTGAGAATAGATGATTCTCAGAATTTGCTCCTGTTCTTATTAAAATATTTATTTCACTAAAGCTTCAAAAACATATCTAGCAGTGAACACAGAGAGGTTAGTGAGGCTGAGAGTATGGGTACTTAGACATAAGGATAACATGTTCTTATCTGTTCTCTAAAGGATGAATTGACATTAAGTAATAAGAACAAGGAGGAGTTTACAGTACAAGTGATTTCTCTTTGTACAAACACAGAAGGGTTTTTAGAACATCCTCTTACTACAGCATATTACAGAATCTAATGAGGGATAAAACTGTCAAATGAAAATGTTATTAACATCTTCTTCCTTTAGGTGGTAAAGCCAAATTGTATTTTCATTAAGTCCTATCAAATACAAATGCCATACTCTTTTCTAGGGCATTCTGCAGGGTGGAAAATTAGTGATTGAGTGCCTTGCTTGTATCTTGATTTCTTGTGAAATTGGCATGTATTTTAGTTCATCTTTTTTGTTGCTTGTGTGACTGAAATTATTAGAGGTCTGAAAGATTAGCTCCCATTGAACCTAAGGGATACAAATATAATTCATCCTCTAAATACAGTAAAGTTTACTGTGTGACCTCTGACTACAGGCTCAAGTCACCAATAATTTACCAGTGAAGGACACCAGTAGTTTGCATCATTATTCTCAATACATACTGAAATTTAAAATAAATAAATAAAAAAAAATGAGCAGGAGCATTATAAAATGGATTATATATAATCCTAATGGATTAGGATTATAAAATGACTTTTCACTGATGGTAAACTCATGATATGCTATGCTTGTTTTTCCATGTAGTTAGCATCATGAAAGGTAAATCCTAACATTCTCTTCCTAAGGAACTAGGATCAGAGCCGTTCCCCAAGGTGTACTCCATGTATTTCAGTTGCTTACCATGACAACTTTTACCAACTCTGTTTACATGCAGCGTTTAGATTTTTGGACTAAACCTTAGAATATATCTCAGTAAAGAGGGGAATATAAATAACTTCACTCATTGCTCTAGAGTCCCTGTCCTGTTGGTATGCAGGTACAATTAGAGCTTGTATGACACAAACAGATCATTGCCAGAATGTTCGTTATCACTGTATTACATAGTCCCCTTTAAATAATCCATTTCAGTTATATCCTTACTATGTTAGTAAAGTAAGACTATTTGGGATTGAATTACATGAAGAACCTAGTCTGTATCTTTCTTCTCTCTTGGACCAATAAATGAAGGAATGAAGCTTGCAGTATGGAATAATTGAAGTAGTTTTGAGTATGGAGTTGCAACTCAGTTAATGAAATAGTAATGATTCATCCATCATCATACAGATGATGAAGTTTCTCCTGTAGCACCTGACATGTCTTTGGTGACTGCAGCTGACGATTTCCCTGAAAAAGACGGTGGACATTATCCTGCAAGTACTAGTAAGATTTATGTATTACAATAACTAACTAACTAGCTACATCAAATATAGACTGCAATAAAACTGCTTTCTTCTTCCAGCAGGGCATTCTGGTAAGTGGTAAAGTGTGCATCATCTCTAATTTTGGAAAGACATAGAAAGACAATACTTTCCAGACTAGTTAAGTCAGAAATAAACTTCAGTCTCTAGGACAAGAGGAGAAAAAACATTTACTGTACGCTTACTTCAGTGAGTTCAGAAAGATTGTTGTTTTGTGTTTCCCACTGTTTTTTTTATCACAACTCTATGAGGCACCACAAAGGAGTGCAACCATTTATCACTTGAAGTCAATTTATTTCTGAGGTAGAAAAGGACATTTTTGCCAATTTGTGATGAAAGGGTCTGTGATTCTAATATATGTATGGTTGTGAATGTGGGCAATCCATGACAAAAGCACAGCCTCTCTCACCAAAGCATTGCTTTAAGTGGTCGTTCCATTTGCCAAACCACTTGCTGCAAAAACCAATTTCATCCTTGATGTTGGCAATATGCATGAGAAAAAAATGTGGCCTTTGGTGGCTCCACAGGCTTTGAGGGCTCAAAAGAACATTAGTCATAACTGCTTGTGATGTTTTTATCAAATATGTAATGCACAGCAGCTACAGCAAATAAAAACCTTTTCAAGTCATCTTACATGTTTTGAAGTGGAACTGTACTTATATTCACTCTAATTCTTAATTTTAGAGTGATAAAGATCTTTTTCCCAGAAAATAAAGTGAATCTAAAAAGAGAACAGTTTTAGTTATACAGAGGATATCTACAGAGGTGTGCTGTGATAAAGAATGAACTGATAGAAATTAAAGTTTACCCTTTTTGTCCCCACTATGGAAGCCCATGATAGTAAGGAATTTGCTTAGTTATTTGTTGGTTACTGATAGATGGTCAAATGGTCTATGTGTCTTGAAGGGGCTGTACTGTATTTAGAAATTACATGATAGAGCAAGAATGATTTCTTGTTTTACACAGTTAGCAAAAGCTTTACTAAAAGACAGAAATGATTCAACCAAGCATCTTGGCTCAGGGGGTGTGAAGGTTAGTAACACCTTATAAATATGTAGGTAGAAAAAAAATTACGAGGTTGATTTTCCCCAAAACCTTGACAGCAAGTAGAGAATTTTCTGGTGCTTGTTTCAAGTGTAAGGTTTTGCTACAGAACATTGCCTGTAAGGTTGGGGGAGGGTGGGGGAAATCCCACCTGGTAACAGTGGCGAGTTTATCTGTTTGACTCTGGTGGTGATTTTTCCTTCCTATTTATTTGCTTTTGGATGCTCGTACAACATAGTGCTTCCTTGTACAGAGGTTTCTGTACCCATTGCAAAAACCTGTGAATTGTTTCTGGGCAGGAAAGATTTTGGTTTGCCTTTTACTACTTGATTATCAAATATATCGATCCTAAATACATATGTTCCTTGCTGTGGCTAACAGTTCTCTCGTGGGCATGACTATTTTACAGGAGGAAAATTAGAGGCACCTAAGATTGTAAAAGATCAAAGTTACTATAGAGCTATGTAATAAAATATGTCAATACTGATATATATGTATCACAGAAATGATAGCATTGACATGATTGCTTATTGGTTTAGTGTCGACAGACTGATTCTCTGGAAAAAAAAAAAAAAAAAAAAAGATTATGAAGGTACTGCTCCTGGGATCTTCTGGTAGCTTTATCTATTACTCAGCAACATCACTTTAAAGCCAGACAGACCCATTTCACTTAATTTTACTGCATTACAAATGAAGGAGTAATTTAGCACTCCTTTCAGAAGTTAAGTATAAGCTATGCATATTATCAGAAGTCATCAAATATTCACTAGTATAGAAGAAAGTTACATGTAGAACAAACAAAAAAGAAGATAAAGCCATGTCCCAATGTCTACTATTTACATTGTGCAATAGTGCAGGCTTATTGGAACATCCTGGCCACAATTTAATTTCTCAGTGAATAATCCCAAAGACAGGCAAGTAGAAAAATAAGTAATAAGTGAACTATTCAGCATATATCTTCAGATTGATAGCTAAATATACGTCTCTATCTAATTCTATAGTGAGTGAAAGTGAGAAACAAAACCAGTGGATCTCCATCTGTGCTACACACTATTTGTAAATTTAAAGTTTGGTGAAAAAGTGTCTAGCTTGATCAAAACTTCTATTTGCTCTGGGTTTGAAGTGAGCAATTGCCACAACTCCTTTCTCTTCAGATGATCTCCTTTCATTACTACTAGGCTTTGGACATTATTCATGATGTTCTCCATCAAGTTCCCAGTCCAGATTTGCCAGAACTTTGTCATTGACTTTCTCTCCTGGCTGAAACAAAGTTTTTTTCTTTGTTATTAACAAGTTATGATTCATCTGTAGATGTGTCATGGATCAGATATCATAAAATTCTGTTGCTGATCAATTAGATACTTCCCTAGGTTATCAGAGCTAGTTACTCAAACCATAACTGCGACTGATTTTGTTTCATTCATATATAATACACATTTTTGTGGTCTGGTGGATTTTCCTTTTATTTGGCCTGGAACATTCCCTGAAAAAAATCTTATCAATGAAAAAAGTCTTCTGTCCATGCTTTGGCTGATTTGACAGGAAAACATCTGCATTGGTATTTTGTATGTGGAGGGAAGACATGAATACATGTTCATCACTTAAGAAAATGAGCTCCTAAGGCTTGTTGTGGAAAGCAGGTAGAGGTGAGAATTTTGCTGTCATTACAGCAAATCAGGTGGCAGTTATTTAGTTATTCAATTATTTTCTTGTTAACCAATCTTCTGGCATCATTATTTTGTTCACAATTCCACCCCAAAGCTCCAAATCTGAGACCACCTGTGTTTTGATGGTCTGTCGCTCAGAGATCAGGTTTTGAATGTCCAGGTTTCCCATTTTCTGACACTGGTGTCAGAATAGCACTAGTAATATTAAGTTTAGGGAGCAATTATTGATTGTAAAAAGAGACAGTATTTATTCAGTCAAGGACAGCTTTTCAGAAAGGCAAAATCTGTTAGGTTTTGCTGACAAACTAGCTACACTTTGAAAAAGTGCAGTTCTGAGTTTAACTCCATAAAATTTGTACACTTTGCAGTTTACAAATAGAAAAACATAACTACTGCAGACTGAAGAACATCAGTTTATCCTGTTTGATCATAAGAACTTTGATTCTTAGGTCTTGCATTTTCCAATACTTTCATATATTGCACAAAAATTGAACAAAGCTAGTGTCTCTGATGTTAGTATTCAAGGTATTTTTCTAAATTAATTAAAGATTTTTTTCCAGTTGAAAAAGAGTACATGATGTCTTTACTTCACCTTCAAGACATCAAATTAAGATGGTCTAAATTCTGATAAAAATATTGCTTGTGAGGAAATACTAAAATAAAAATATTTCCAGATAAACATTTTGAAGTAGATTTTTCTTTCTTTTGGTGAATATGTGTATGACTTGAAGTGCAGCTCTTTTTGCAAATTCTGCTTCTCGGTTCATTGATGAGTAGTTTAGTAGAGAGGAATGTTAAACTACCAACTGGCTTGCCTAAGGGATTTTAATTTCTATGGTGTACATCCTTCTATTAGCGTTGAATGCTTTTTGTCAAAATATTGGGGCGTATTTCACATATGGTACATATGTCACACCTAAAAATGCTATGCAGAATTAATTGACTTTACTGGACTTTCAGAGCTGGTAACAGAATCTTATACTTTAGTAGAGTATTACAAACTTCACTTATGCTAAAAGCATTGGATATTTTTTCTGTTGGAGGAATGTAATGATACCATGGGTTCATGCACTCGCCTTGCACTCGTATCCGTCTCAGTGGCATGAGTATGCTCAGGGTGCTGGTGCTAGTGGACTTGTCTTTGCTGGTGGAAGAGTGCTTCTCAAGAAATAGTAACAAGATCTTGGTTGAATGAACCATGTCCTAACAGCTCCAGGCCCTCATCATGACAAGCTGCAGGAATCCACCACTCTAGCTCGGTGGAAACCGTTCTTAAACCACTGGTGGTGGTCAAGTGCGGGAGAGATGACGCAAGAACCCACACAAGCAACCAAGGGTAAAGCATGTCATGCTAACAGAGTGCTTTGATTAGGGGCTGAGTAACTAGAGAACCTAGGCAGCAAGTTTCAGAAGCATTAAGTGGAGGGTGGTTGAATGTGTGGTGTATGTCACTGCTTTTCATTACGTGTTGGAAGTGGGAAAAGCAAAGTACTGGGATATCTCTCACCAGCTGTACATCTGGTGACAATAGAACAGTTGTCCACATTGTTCATGTACTGTAGGAGGTATTCTGTGTATCTGAAAGGATGAGTTATGGGAGTAATTTTATAGAGGACAGATTTGGGTTTTTCTTTTTTCCTGTTTGGAGGCAATTTAGAAGTAGACTCTTCCAATGAGAAAGACTTGTAGGAGAAAAGAGGAAAATGTTTTCAAGCCAGTACGTTATTGTCACTCTGCTAGAAGATGGAGTGTGGTTAGGGCTGTGAGCATGCATAGGGCACTGAAATGTAGCCAAGAGCCACGTTGGGGCAGCTTCAGCAGGGCCATGGTGGAGTGATGAATCCCTTGTGGGTGGAAAAAACAGGAGGAGATATGAACCATGGGAAGCACGGTGCTGTACACTCTTCTCTCTGACTGTAAGGCTGCATGAGGGGAGACAAGAAAGCATAACTACTGTCAGCAGAAGACCTTGTGGGTTAGGGCTTCATGGCAGATTTAACATCATCACAGCAGATGTGACCTCAAGTGGCAATGGTTCAGATGACGAAGACTCTTCGGAGGAGACAATTTACACAACAGTGTTTCCAGGCTGGGACAGGAGTGTGGCCAAGGACGAATATGCTCCAATCACTAGTAAGGAACTTCCTTTCTCTTTGGATGGTTTCTTTCTTCTTTTTCCTGTCCTACCCGACATTCCTCCTCCTCCTTTGCCACACATATATTGTGTGAAAATTGGATGGTGTTTTTATCAACTGTTCCTTAAGATATGTCTCTTTTGCTATTGAAAAATTTATATGAGGTCCATATTGATAACAATTAATATATGTTCTATCACTACTTAAAATTAACTTCTCGGTTTCATGCCTATTGGAATGCATGCATTCACTCATGATTTTCCAAGGAAAAACGTTGTTCATATTTTTTACTATTTTTTTCTTTTTTTAAAAAAAAAAAAAAAACCAGTGTGAAAGTAGTCCAATTCATGTTCTTTATAATCTACATCTATACATGTGTAGAATTCCTGTCTGTGGAAGAAGATGTTCAGGCACAATTTGGGGAGGTCAAACCCCAGGTGCCCTGTTCATTGGGAAGTGTCAACACCTTCCACACTCTTCTCGTGCAATATTCTAACATCATCTGATTTGTTTTATGACCTCAGAGTTTTAGTCATGATCCAATACCACAACTCAGATACTTTAATACATAACATTATTTTTCTGAATAAATAGTCCCACAGTGATCATCTGAACTCTTTTTTAACTAAAAGAGCCATCAATACCTAAAATAATTTTGTCTCAAAACCATAAAACCAGCACATATGAGTATCAAAGCCAAATGTTCTGTGTCACCGAAGCACACTGTGTGTTACTTGGTCTTATGACCAGGGCATGGTTCCAGGCCTGGGCTGGTTTTCTTCAGTATAGATGTTGCCATTAATGACTACATTCTAACACTCTTATTTGTACAAAAATAATAATAATAATTTGTGTTTTGTAATTTAATTTTATTAATTTTGAGCACATCTTAATGTGTCTTTTGCCTGTGCTCTTATTTACTCTATAGTGCTTATAAATCACTGTTTATAAGCTTTGCTTTTTTTCTGAAGATATGGGATAATTTGTTTTTTTCAGAAGTGGTCTTCATTTTTAGAAAAATCAAATGAGAAAGTCATCTTACTTTGGGATTTTTTACTCTTTTGCCTGAGTTCTGGGTATTTCTGATATTAGTTTATTTATCTTCGAGACTCTGCATTAGTGACTTGTTCCACAGTGTGTTGTATTTCAACTACCTTCTATTGCCTAGTGGTTTCTGCGTGCTCCACAGGTGAAAATGTATACTGTCTGGTCATAGACTCTTGTGAAAGTTTTGTTTTATCTGTTCAGTTGTATTATAACTTTCTTGGACTAATATTGGCTTCCTGATGGCTGTCAAGGTGCTTTTGATATTTTACTGACCATAGCTTTTGAGCTCAGTGGTGAGCATTATAACATGAATGTGAGCATTTCTTGGGCATTTAGCAAGCATGTTTTACATGTATTCAGATATCTGCCATATTCTCTAGTTCCAGCATTATTCTTCAAACTTGAGTTTAAATGTCTATAACTGCTGTAATGGTTTGGCACTACTTCTTTTATACACTGTTCTTCTATTGCTTGTTTTCCCCATTCTTCTTGGGAAACTTTGCATCTGTTCAATGCAAAGAAAAAAACAACTGGTTTGATGTAAAGGGATTTGATAAGAGTAGAGAGACTGCAGTTAAGTTATGCATTAATTTCCATTTTCCATTACCTTTATGGCACACACTAACAGTAGAGTAATAGTGATAGATGTAGAGCATGGTCAGCGTTGAATCCTCCGTTGTCCTAGCAGCTGTGGACTCGCAACACGGAACACTTCTGGAACTCTCCACACAAGATCATTGGAACCCCGCTTATACAGACGAAGAGGAGCAGTATCCTAGCTCTGCTGGTAGGGGTAAAGCAATTAAACATTTCAGATAATATTCAGATTTGTGACATAATTCAGTGAAGTATAACACTGATATGGTGCAGCTAGCTGCAATTCCCCTATCATTATCCTCAGTTTAGTGTAATACCTTTATATTATTTGTACTTGATCCCTCAGAAGTGTCATCTTTTGCATTTATCTGCCCATCTCTTGCATCTAATCTTCATTACTTGCCCCTTTTTCTCATGTCTCTGGGATTTTTAAACTTGCACTGCCAGTAGTGTAGAAAAACTGAGCAGATTGCAACGTATGATAACCCACCTTAATGCGGATAAAAAATTCCCTTTTCTCAACTTCAAAATTTCTATCGTAAAATCTGAAGACAAAAGACAAAAAAGGGAGGGAGCTAGTGATTCAAATGCATGAAACTCTGCTACAGAGGATGATATGCTACCTCCAGATGAATGTGAACATTTTGCTACCAGTGCTAGTCACAGTAGCCAACTGAGATACTAAAAGTGTGCTCATGTTCTTCAAGTTTAAAAACCTCTGTAGGCAAAGGCTTACAGAGTGCATTCTCCAGCTATTTTTGCTATGTACCTAAGCAGTTTCCAGTTAAAATTCTTTGAAAAGCATAACTGGATATGAGCTTCATTTTTAGGATGGTTTGGCTATAATGCACAGTTTTATCCCATTCAGGAGAGGTACAAAACTGAATAGCTGGAGACACAGCTATATACAGCTGGATTCAGGGCCAGCCTTGTAATTGTGTAAAATTAGATTTTACTGAAAAGAAATATGTTTCATTGGGACCTGTGGAAAGCCTTCTTATCCCACTGTAAAAACCAGGATTTTCTACATCCTGTGGTAGTCCTTTGGATATCTATGATTGGCTTCCAATAGCTAGATATCTGTCTTTCTGGTTCTGAGGTTGTTTCTAACAGTGAAAGTTCATATAATTGGCATCAGAACAGGTGTTATAATCACCCAGAAATAATTTTTGTGATAACTTTCTTTTAGTTCTTAATTATTGTTACATTAATTGTATTCATACATTAGTTAATTTTAACTTCTTTTTACAGGATAATTATATTTATTTGCTTTAATTACAAAAATAATGAACTACATTTTCATGAGTACTCTATGAACATTGCATTGCCTGAATGTGAAGATAAATATTCCTTCAGTTTTGCTCTTTTGGGGAAATACGATGGGTTTCTCTAGTTGGTGACTTCTGGCCTGTGTAACAGGTCCAGCTCATTATCTGCATGCCCTGATTAAGGACCTTTGCTTTACCTTTAATATATCACTCATGGAAACATTTGATACCTAAGGAAAATATATTTCAAACTGAGTTCTCGTGCTCATCTTAGTGTTATAGGTATTCTTCTTTCTCCTGGTGTACCTTTTTTAAGCCCTTTAATATTCATTAGAAAATCTCTTATGGTGGTGGTACTTCAGGTGAATTCTGACTGCATCTTCTGCTATGTAAACAACAGCAAATTAAAGAGTCAGCAATTAACTTATTTTATCAGTAAGATCTTTATTACTGAGTTCAAAACAAGTATGCTTTTCAACTTTGAGTATATAAACCTACTTATCTAATTAATCCAGTCCCAGAAGAAATGGCAATTTCCTTGGAGCCAGCCTTGTAATTGTGTAATTGAGATATTAACTCAAAAAGACAAAATTCATCATGTTTTTCACTTTTAAAAACCCAGAAAACACAGACTCAACAGTTAAGTTCGTGTTAGTAATTAGAACTAGAGTTGCAAGCTGTTGTTTATACGTGTTCTTCCACTGCTTCTCCTATAGCTTTTTTCCTGCCATTGGTCATTGGGATACTTTCTAGCACACTTAAATCTTCTTCTGACCCTAGTGATGCTTTTGTGTGATAGGGTTTCCAAAGGACTTTTGTTTTCTTTCATCCTTCGTTTCACATCAAATGCAACAATGAAAAGAAAAAAACAAAACACAAAAGCCAAGCACCCTTCTTGTGTAGACCATGAAGATGAGAATAATATGACTGGTGTTGGGTATTTTGCTCATTATTGATTCAGTCATCATCTTATCAGCACTAGTTACAAGTGAAAATGAAAAACGCCGAGGACCAACCCAACACCCACTATTACACAGTGTTCATTCTTGGTGGATGAGTCAAGAACAAAATCCTGCATATACCACTGGGAATATTGAACAACATGAATTTACTGTTGCAGGTGAAAATTATATCGAAAAGGAATCTTCTCAAACAGGTAATGTTGCAGATCACATTTTAGTAAATTATCAGGATTTACCAAAGTTTAAGTTTTAGGACTTTTTTGCTAACAATTTTACATACTGAGGCCATAACAGAGGTTCTGTGGATAAACCTGAGCAATTCAGATGATACTTTTTTTTTTTTTTTTTTTTTTTTTTAATTATTCTATTCTTCAGACCTGTTCCTGAAGGTTTGTTTTCTCTCATAGTTGGATTGCTTGCCGAGACCTATAGTAGATTAATTCCATAACTGTCTCCTATATTGTGTGTTCTGTATCATCGCAGTCACAAGGTTGCAAGTCATTATTGGACCTGGGGATTTTTCAGATTTGGCTAATATGTCAATATTTTAAAATATTTATCTAAAATACCTACTCACCCCACTTTTGAACTATGACAAGATGATGCTGGTAATGAAGGGAAGAAAACAAAGCATAGTGTAGAATTAAAGAGAGTCTTCTCTCTTCCATCGTTTGAAGCAATTGAAATGTAAGAGATCAAACTATGTTTTAAAGCTAGTAAATGAAAATTGACATATATTAGTTTCTGTTCCTGTGAGTGTACTTATGTTTATTAGATAATGACTGTGTTGTACAAAGCACTGCCAACAGTGAATTTAACACAGTCATCACCTGCTCTTGTAGATTATCAAATACAGGACATTGAAGACAAACATATCATAAACATTATTTGAGATGCTGTATAATGTGGATCTATTCTTCCAAATAAATATAATCTTACTGGCAAAAGTTTTGTGTAGCTCACAGCTTCAGCAGTCCCTAAGCCCACATTCCTCTAAAATATCAACCCCAAGTGCTTCATCAACATCCTTTAAAAATCCAGTGATGCAGTAAAATGTATTACTGATATATATAAATACTATACTACTATAGAAATATAATTTGGCCTAGTTCCAATTAAAATTTTGACACACTGGCAATTTTATTGGGTTTTTTTGATTGGGTAGGGGGCATTTAAGGAGGATTATGGTACTTATAAGATTTGGGTACTCTTTTGCTGTGACTGTCTAATAAAAGCTACAGATTGGTTGATATGGACAGTATCATATTTTTCTAAATAACTGCAGTATCAAACATTCTCCAGTTGAATGCTGTCTTATTTGCTGTGTGCACAGTTCACAAATGTGCATCATGTGCTACCCTTTCCTCTGTCAGACTTTCTTGTCTCTTTTCCTGGAGATGGATAAAACAATGAAATTTTGAGAGGAAAAAAACTGGATATAGTCAATACACTAAAATTTTGTGATTAAAATTTTACTGATGGGTCATATTCTTGTAGTTATTTCTGCCTTTGCTGTTCTTAATTCTGCATCTGTGGATATTGGTTTGATATTCTGCCAATACATAGTCAGCATCATGATTCAGGGAAATACTCTTGAAAAACAATGAGATATCCTGATTCCAAAAAGCATATGCTTAGTTTGAGGAAGGAGTCAGTCCTGTTGGTGACAATAGGCAGCTTTTCTAAATATAAACCAGAATGAGAAGCAAATCTGCTTTACTTCTCTTTGCCATTAAATGTAGTAGACATGTGAGCAAGGCCTGTCATAGAGACAAGAAACGAAGAGGAGAATAATATGAGAAATGGATCTTTATATGAGTTCATAACTGCTTCACCATCATCATAACAGCTATGGCCTCCAACCGTGGAGCCAAACAGAATGACACAGCGCAAGACCCATTGGTGTATCCAGGTTGGGACAAGGGAGAGGATTATGCTACACAACCTGCTATAACAGATAGAATTATTCCTTCCAGAGAGAATAATCATGAAAAAGACTCTTCCTCTACAGGTACTAATAATAATGACAATTATGTGTATATCATCACTTCTGTCTCTTGGGTAGCCTGTCTTGGAAATATATTACATGAACTTGTTAGAGAGGACCAACTTATTGATCTCTTTAAGACAGTGATATAAATTAGAGTGATTCATTTTTAATGTGCTCTACCTGGATGGTGGTGACATAGAAGTTTTAAATTTTATCCCTATGTAAAACATTTATTTTTACTTATCAACACCATTTTTAGTGTTTTCTGTCCCTTTAGTGAAGCATGACTGTGGAATTGAGTCCAGCTCATTACATATGTTATATTATTTGGTGTTGCCAAACTCTCTCTACCATAAAGTTGAATTCATAATTATGTATATTTTCATATCAGCAGGTTAATGCTTTTAACTTGTGAATATTCATCTGGGGAAAGAATGATCTTTTCATAAATTTTATCCAAACATTTGTCCCTCTGATCTGTAGAAAGATGAAATAAAGGAATTTACAAAACTGGCATGACACAACATCATGATGCAGTTTTGTATAACAGGTACCATTTATACCATCAAAATAATGGTCTAAAGACATGATAGGAGAAACACAAATTATTCATGAAATAAGAGGAAAGGTAACATCAATCCTTTCTTAAACAGACAATGCTCAAAGTATATTTTTAATTTAGTGACAGCTATTTAAATTTCTCTTATGGCTGCTGTGTGTTCCTCTGATGGTATGTCTTCTGTCTCATTGCTCCTGCCATTATATAACGTTAGTCAGATATTCTGGAAAAGCAGGACAGCTTATGTTAGGAAGCTGTAAAGCTGCTGACAATGAAAATAAATACAAAAACCTGTTTCCTTTTATTGTTTATGATCCAATTAGAATAAAAAACATAAAGTCTACTCTGCTTAAGAGGAGAACACTGTGGATGATGGGTACCGTAAACCCCCCACCACAGAGTAAATCTAACCAGTAAAATCCTTCAATAATGTCAAAATGTGAAACTGGTTCTGGGAGGAAACCTAGTCTTACGACTACCATGAACAGAACAACAAATTATAACCATTTTCTGTAACTTGTCAGCACTCATGGAGTCTTGAGCAACAAAGGAGAATTGATGCCTGTAGAAATTTTTCTTTATTGCAAGTATTGATATCTGTAATGTAAACACACTGTAGCAGTACTTGACAGCCTCCCTGAAGCTGAGGATTTGTGGTCAACCTGGGATGCAGGTCAGGGAATCCTTCTGATTGCTGTCTCTATGTCCTTTCCCTGTGTCCACAGTCCTTGGTAATCTTTTGGATTAAGTAAAAAAAGTGGATAAGAATAGCAAATGAAAATATCTGATCAAAACATGCAGTGATGTACAGGAGGACGGAAGGTCTCCCTTTTCTTCCCTTTTTGTGGTGAGGATGGGGTAGCAGTGATTTAAAGTGAACAGGAGACTGGAGCGTGGCAGGAATGGGAGGGGTACAGCAACACACATGTGGAATTCACAGCTGATTTAATCATCATGGTAACAGTTATTGCCTTTCCTGATGGTGCCCACCATGAAGACCCAACTCAGCCACCTCTGCCTTCAGAGAGTGAACCAGGACAGGGCAATGAAGGCATCACACATCCCACAGACAGCCCTGGGGGTGAGGTCCTCCACAGGGCCACACTCAGTACGAGCAACGCTGGTGATGACTCTCCTCTGACAAGTACCAGTAAGAATAATGGATCATACTCATTTCTCATGCCTGGTGTGAAATGAGGCATTATTTCTTCTGAAATCGAGTCCTTTCCCTATCTTTCTCATCCTTGGGGTCTGCGTTCTTGATGTGGACTTGAAGTGCAAAAATCTGTGGTGGGATCTGTGCTGTTGCCAGAATTACCTTCTGGACAAGGCATGAGAGACTTCTTGCTGTTACACTTGGTGGTTTCTGTCCTTTGCTGAAGCATGTTTCTGGGTGGTCTCCTGACTGTTCTGCAAGACACGCGCTTTGGTGATTTTGAATCCCCAGCCCCATCTTCCTTTCTTGCACATCCATGGGATCTGGGCTGATACGCTTCAGCACCATGATCGGTGTGGTGGAGGTGCTCTGGTGGGTTAATCAGATGGCTTGCTCCTGTGACTCAGCACCAGCACCATTACCGGGGATAGCTGTCCCAGTGAAGAGGAGAGAGCAGCTGTAGAAGAATGACATCCCATAACCTGTGCCTTCAATCCACCACTGCTCCTCAGTGGTGGATTGCCAGGCAAGACCGCCACAGATGTGGCTGCAGTTTGGCCTCTCCCTCCTGAGTTACAGGGTCAAGTTGTTGCTGCTGTGGTCTCTTATTCTGAAGGTCTTCCCTCTCCATCTGTCACGGGGATCTGTGTATGTAGACAACATCTCTTTCCAACACGGGGAGGATGTATGTGGTGCTTACGGGTCTCAGAAATCAGTGACAGTGTGGAAGAAGGGGAGGCCTTCAGGTCTTTTCTCCTCCTGTGCTTTGAATAAGGAAGATGGACATGCTTTCTGACTTGCTGTGGTACAGGATAGAGGGAAATTATGTGTTTGGTGGTTTTGTGAGCGCTCACTTTTAAAGCTGATCATGCCATCGTCATGGCAGTCACAGAGTCCGTGGATGATGTTAACCGAGAGAAGGCAACCAAGGAGCCACTGGCAGCTGGCAATCCACCTGGAAGTAAAAGTGAAAAAGCAAACACCACAGAAGGTTCCCATGTCAGTTGGATACCTGGAGTTTTTCCAGACATTGAAGATCGTCTTAACCAATTGCAGACCCCTCTTCCTACTAGTAAGAACTACAAATTACCTGCATTTTCATTTATTCATCAGTCAGTTATTATTTTGGACCATGGCGACCAGTTGAAAACATATATACTAAGCATAATTGTAAATTATTGTTGTAGTATGATTTCCTTTTGGGGTTTTATTATTGTTTATAACCTGCTTATAACACGTTGTTAAGGGAAATCTCTTTCTGTGCAAATCAGAGGACATTTGCTAAAAGGTTGAAAATAGTGTTTTACAAATAACCTTTTCTTATATTCTGTTATCTGTTTATGATAACACAATCATTAGTGTGAACAAGGGTAAACTTTCTTCTCATGCCCATGCATACATGATATCATTTTGTCTTTCTTTTTTGCTGGGCACAAATGATAGCTATGTAACTCTTAACCGTTTGTCACTTTTCCCCCCATCTGTATTCCCTCTACATTAGTTTGAATATGTATCAAAAGAAAGGTATTTCTCTGTGAAACCCTTTTTCCTATGTCTATTTGCTGTTGTTGTCTTGCCTATTGATTTATTATAGCTGTGTTTCTGGGCTGCAGCTGACATTTCATTTGTGAACAATTTTTTCTTTAAAGGCTTATTCTTCTGATAGAGTTAGTGCAGTTAACAGTAACTGTTTTCTTATTACACTACGCATAGCCTTTCATTTTTTTTCTGTGTGGTCACATGCTAATAGTATAAGGAATGAAGGGACTTTTCCTTATTCACAAATTCAGTTTCCATACAAATATTCATCCTAATAGCAACGTTTTTTTCCAAATGCTACTTCTCATATACACTGATCCAAATACTATTTTCATGCACTTCCTTGGGAACTAGTGGAATCATCCCAGGACAGATTTTGGCCAATCGTCTGTGGAGATTCTTTGCACATAAGCAATATTATGCACCTATGCTTTTATATCATTATACAGCAAACACTTTAAAGATAATTCTTAGTTATTTAATGTTAATTCATACGTTGTTGGATAGAATTTGGCCTACTTATTTTTCTTCCAGAATTTTATATAAACCCACTAAAATCAACTCCATCAGCATTGCCTGAGTTCTAGTATTTTGACATAGGCACAGCAATATAAATGCAAAATGTGTATTTGATAGAATTTTATTGGAAAAAAATAAATCTATTTTTAATAATGGCTTCCTACTGCAACAAACTAATTTATTGACTTGCTGCCCTATTCACTTAATTAATCCAAGCTGCTTCCTTAATTTTATGTGCAGACATTACACACTATGAAAGCATGTTTGCTACCTTTCAGTTTTGAACACATAAGACCTGTAAGGACTGGTTTGAAGATCTTTTTCAAGGTGAATGTTTGTGTCAAATCTTTGCATTGTCAGTGCCCTGGCAAAATCTCATAAGGCCATATTCCCATCACCCTTTCTTTTTTTTCATTTACTTTCTTTTTTCATTTATCTTCTCTTGGTGCTTTTAAAAATCACAATAGAAGGGAGTTACTAGGAAGCTACCATCATCATAAAAAAGTTCATTTATTGAAGGATTCATTAATTTGTAACATTGACCCATATAGCTGTAAGGGAATGGAAAAGGTTCATGACTGTGTTGACTTGATGTGCTATACCACTCTCCCTTTCTCTACAGCAATGTTTAAGCTGTGGTCTGACATCCCACTAATGGCTGATCTGTTGTCCAAATCTCTATGAAAGAATAAATCAGTCCACTGAAGGAACCCAAAAAATAACTGTCAAAAAGAGAAAAATCTAGTATATCGTCAAAATGAAATGTAATGCACTTTTGAGGATCCCTCCCTGGCACTTGCAAACACCTCCCCAGAGCCAGAACAGCAACATACGTGACTGCATCCTTCTGCTGCTTCTCAGTGCTCAGGGGAGGGGAAGGGTGAATGTAACAGTTCTTTAAGTGCACAAATTTTAATAAATGTCTGAGTGCCTTTCTAAGGGGCTTTGTGGCGGAAAAGCTCTGTCATTTCTCAAGGATGATATAAAGCACCTTGAAAGGAAATAATTTACTGAGATGTGGAGTATACAGGTGAGCATGTTCCTCTTGGTCTGCTTGTTTGGAGGCTAGATCAAGACCCTTAGCTGCTGAATTAGTGCTCTGTCCTTGGTGGTGAGATAACACGAAACAACTCACTGGTCAAAAAGTTTCTTGTTAATAAAAATAATGAAAACATCTGGAAGATTCATGAACTACTTGCTGGCTAAGCTTAACAGAGGGAAAAACATGCTTCTCAGTTTTTTACTTGCGAGCTGCTATGAGGAAATGAGATCAGAAATACTGGCTAAAATGAGTTGCAATGTGTGTTAAAGAGCTTTACAGCTGCTTAGAGTAAGTACTTAATTTGCTCTGTTAGAGTCTGTAAGAATTCAGGGAGGTGGAGATCTGTAATATCTTTTTGTGGTGATAATGAAGTAGTAGTCCCAAATGAAATCACTGTATCTGTTGTCTGCTGATAATTTTTGACTTGGGATACCCATATGGCAACAGCGTGGGCCAGAAATGTAATTGCATAGAAGTTCAGGTGGTATGGCCAGCATAGCAAATATGCAAGACTGGAAGTATGCATTTTGATTTAAGATTTAATACTACTTTAGAATCAAATTATGCAACTTATTAAAAAAGGCAAGGGAATCCACCTCGAAGTTTACAGAGAATATTTTTTTTCTATTAGGAAAAATAATTTTGTAAGTCCCACTCTGTATATAGATACCAAATTCAAAACCATTCAGAGAACTACCCTTTTATTTTATGAAAGCATTAGAGTTTTAGAAATTCAGTTTTCTTCTGTGTAGGAATAAAGCTAAAAGTTTCAAAATTTCTACATATCAGTCATTTTAGGTTTAAATAAAAAAGTAAAGTTCTTTTTTTTTTCCTCTCTCTCTCTTCATTTCTCACTCTCTTTTCCACATGAAACAGACCAGATGTTTGACTTGTATGACAAAATACTCTTCAAAAAGTTGCCAACATTCACATGTGTTTACATTTTCTCTAGAAAATTTCTAGGCAATTATAATTGCATTTTGGTTTATGAAAGTATAGCATAATCAAAGCTGAAATATATGAGAGAAGCAAGAGGGGAAAACAATGAGTTTTGTTATTCAAAATACTAAAACTAACCATAGTTCAGATGAGTATGATGATTATAGTGTATGTAATAGTTTTCAGTATAAATACTTTCTGATGACTTCAGCACATACTTTCTAGAATATGAGTTTTTAATTGTTAAAGTCATAGACTTTGTACCTCGGTGTTAAATATTCAATAAGAGTACTTGCCTAAAGATAGTTTTGTTCTTTAGGACCTACCTCCAGTATATACGGTGATCAAGGACCACACAAGGGACATTATGAATCCACTACGTTCCCTGGAGAGACCACAACAACAAAAGTAGTTTCACAACTAAGGTTGGCACAGGTACCAGGTACGATTTTAGATCAAATGTTTTAACAATTTAAGCACAGAATTGTATTAATATGAACTGAAGTAAGAGATGAAAATGTAGGTCAAGGTTAAGTACAGTTGTTTGGGCTTTGTTCTGAATCAGATAATATTCAGCATTTTCACTAGTAGTCTGAAAAATTGAGAATATTGTAACTCACAATTTTTCAGCAATTTTCATGATGAGAGAAATGCATTTGGAGAATGGGATTGAGATTCAAATAACCTTTATAAATTGATACGCAATTGGACAAAATTCAGTAAAGTTGTATGCAAAGTATCATATCCATGAGAATGTTCAGTGAAATTAGTATCTGAGACAAGTGTTGCAGAACAGGGCTTGCAGATTACAACAGAATAGAAAGAAGCCAAGAGCATGATACAACTGCAAAAGAATGCAAATATATTCTCAGACATATTAGCAGTAAAGTCATTTTTAAAACAGAGGAAGTAATTTTCCCACTCTACTTAGGCCTATCAAGTCCAGATCCAAAGCTCTGTGTTCAGTTTAAGGCACTGCATTAGTTACACAGAAAAAAAACAAAACAAAACAAAAACAAAAACGGAGAATAGCACAAAGAAAATTTTTGAAAGGTAACCTTTGAAGCACCTTTTGAAGAACTCATAATTTTCCGAGAAAAACTAAGAGAGATATGAGAAGAGTATGCTACAAAAAGAATGCTTACTAGTTTTTCACCATGGAGTAATAATAATTAACTAATTAGAAGAAGCAATTTGTTTCAAATGAGATGTAGGAGACTTGTTTCAAACAAACAAAATAAAGAAGTTAGCTCTTAGGAGAGGATCTCTGTCTATAGTGATAGTATCTAAAGAATACTGTATGGGGAAAGTTGTGAAATCTCCTTTACTAAATATGTTAAGAGCAAATGGAACATTGCTCAGCTATCTTCTTATTGACCCTGTTTCACTGGAGTGAAATGTAGCTGACATGACCTCTTAGGGTCCCTTCTAGCTTTGTAGTTCCTTTTTTTTTTTTTTTTTTTGGAGTTTGCCCCAAAAATACCCCTTAAAGTAAGAAAAAATGAACATCTCACTCTACCTGAAAGTCAACCTGATTTTGTGCCTGGAATTGCAGGTATATCATTACTAAGCTTTTTCTTTTGCTTTTGGACTGAATCAGTGACAAAACTTCTCTTCACCTATGCGCACCAAAATACTGTGCTTATCAGAGCTAATAGTGATGGTGTATTTCATCTGAGTTGGCCTGCGTATAACTGAATGATGAAAATGTATTTGATTTCCACAGAAGCACTTTGTAAAGCGAACATTCATGCAAACTAGGAAAAACTCTGACAGTTTAGAGAATGTAGAAGAGCTTGTGTTCTTGCAGTTCTGCAAAACAGCAAAACTACATGAGATACGTTAACACTCTCTCCTCCCCACCCCCAACTCTCCCCACAGAATGGCTGATCATAGTTGCTGCTCTTGTGGCACTTGCATTGATTCTTGCGGTGTGCATTGCTGTTAACAGTCGGAGAAGGTAAGGTGGCCCCTTTACTTTTTCAAAAGACACCACCTTGGTATTTTCTTCATCGAGAGGCTTCAAAGCATCGTGAATGAGTGGAGTAGCACAACACAAGAAAGAGCTTCCTCTACGAAGCTCTGTGACTTGGGATGTGAGGGCCCAGGTCACTGTGTCCTTCACAGGACACACATCAGCCTCCACACTCATGTGGAACCACGTGAAGGCAGTAGCTGTATAGACTGTTTGGTCTTTACTTGTAGATGGAAACTATCTGTATATAGATCACACAGAATTAATTATTCTCTACCAGGAAAATCCTGTCCACTGAGAGTGAAAAATATGTGAGATGGACATAGACAGTAGCAACCATGGGATGAACTGATTATAATCCTCGACCATTAGCAGTGTTGTCTGTGTACAGTGTGAAGGGCTGTATTGGACAATTGCTCTCACAGGTTTAATTTGTTCCTTCTAAACAAAAGGCAGTATCAGAGCTTCCAGTCACAGGGATATATTCTAACATTCCTATCAGAGCACTCAACAGCTTAATTTACACAACTTTACAGATGAAGAAGTGGAGGAATAGAAAGTTGCAGTGATCTGTGCAAGGTTAGCCAGGAAATGGAAAGAACTCTAGCCTAAAGGATAGACTATAATGTTCTTAACTCTTTCTTTTCTCTGGGGGCTGTTCTGAGGTTACTTTTCAATTGTCTCAAACAGCTTTGTGCTACTTAAATGTTAAAGTTGAACCCGTTAACAGAGTAACTATTTTCTCCTTGAATGTTGAATTTGAACTTTTTTTATCAGAGTAACCATATAATATGCGGAGATTTTTGTTCAGGAAGCAGTGAGCAAATTTATTCCTAGTCTTCTGGTTGGAGGAAAGCAGATGTTAAATGCTTCTGTGAAATAGCATCAAGGTCCTCCAAAGCATGGCATGGGTGCTAGAAGAAAGCACTGCCACTATGGTGAGGGAACCACCCAGTCTGTCCCTGCCCATAATGCAGAAGGCTGCTGTGAGACAAAACACTGCAAACTAAATGACAAACTGTCAGACAGAGAGAACTGATGCAGTTTTGCAGAAGTCAGTGGTGAGAAGCCACCTGGTATGTTTGCCCTATGTCTGTATCACGATATCATACTGCTTCTCTGGCAGTATTGTTAGACACCTGTTGAAATAAGAAAACTATCAGGCATACAGTGAGACAGAAAATTCTACAACTTTATTTCTCTGAAGTGATTCTGGATTTGCACAGCCTGAACAGCACAGATTATTGATTTATATGTTACTCTGTTAGGTCTTTAAAAGGAGACACTGCCATTGTTTATTTCCTCTTAACCCACAGTCACCATAGGAACAGACAAACAGGGCTACGATGGCTAAGTAGAGATTGCATCTGACAAGAAATGAAACAATCTTAGAACTGCAAATTTTTCTCTAGATACTGTTAATGGAAAACATATCTTTTACTTGGAGTTTCCATGCAGCTGGGAGTGAGTTGCAAAGAAAGTGTGTGTGAGTACACGTATATGTATGAATTCATGGATTAGACCCTACTAGTATAAGTTAATCACTGTAAGGAAAACTTTTTGAAGCAGGGTTGTACTCTGGTATGCTTGAAACAAGTGGAGCTTTTTCTTTCACTTTAACAGGATCCTAATGATAACAAGAATAAGTTAAGAATCCTTTTTTCATCTATTCTGATAAGTGCCGATAGGCTGAAAATTCAGAGAGATAGTTGTTGTGCAGCCAGCATAGTGCACACGAATGATGACTAGTCTGAAGCTAACACTTCTCAGAGTAGTACTCTGAGAAAACTAGGCAGCTGAGGAAGAAGGACTGAGCACTGACATGTTAGCTGAGCAGGAAGTTGAGGATGTTTCAAGTATTTGTTTAAAAAGTGAGAGCAATCTGTGTTTTTATTTGTGCAATGTTGTTAATTACATTTTTTAAGTGAATGCTAACTGCAGCATCTCCAGTTTCTGTCTCATTTTCTTATTTGGGTTGTCTGAAAAAGCCTAATGAAGCGTAGGCCTTAGATCCAAGTTAGTTCACTTCCTGATCCCAACGATTTATCCTTTCCAGTTAGGAGGTCAGTATGGCAGAGCATGCAATTGGGCCTTCTCAGTAAATAGGAAATTGGTCAGCTCTAGTATTTCTAGTATTTCCTTTTTTTTTTTTTTTACTTTTTAATTGATGTTGTCATAAGTTATCATCTTAACCAAAAAGGCCAAGGTTCAGTGTGGTATTTGTGTGTTCATTCAGAGCTACATATAGAATTTCTTAAGGCAGAATTGCAGTGAGTGTAACTTTAAAAGCACAGTAGCTATTTCGTATCTTAATATCATAAGGAGCTGTGTTGTAATAGTAGCAAGAGTAGTTCTCTGTATTGCCTTGATGCTGGCCGGCTTCTAGGCCTGACATGCTAGTACAAAGAAGGAAAAAGTTGTCTGGTATAATAAGGTGAGAGCTTGATCCAAATTTCCTTAAGCATTTTCAAAGGTGTGATCGCAAGTGTGGATTTAGAATGATCCAGTCCTTATGGTGAGATATATACAAAGTTCATAAAGGTGGATATATCCGAATGTTAGAAAATGTGTTCTAGATTTCAGTAATTAGTATTATTCCTATCTGTAGTAATGATAGATACAAATCAAATAAGTGAGCTCCTGCCAAATTTTATGCATATAATGGTGAATGCTTTCAAGAATAAAATATGCAATATGGAGAAACTTTACATTTTCCATTGTATAAATTTGCACTGGCAGACACAAGTTTCATTTCCAAGCACCTTTTCCTAAATATTAACTTTCATTTTGTTTTTCTTATTTCTGTTAGTCTCCATTTATATTACTTATTTTCTTTTTATTTATTTCTAGATGTGGTCAGAAGAAAAAGCTAGTGATTAACAATGGCAAAGGGGCAGTGGAGGACAGAAAGACAAGTAGATTAAATGGTGATGCCAGCAAATCACAAGAAATGGTGAACTTGGTTCATAAAGAACAGTCAAATGACCAAACAGGAGCATGTGATGAATTCCTGACTGTTAATGAAACACAGAATCATCAGGATCTTGACATGAAGAGTGGAGTCTAATGATACCAAGCTGCCAAATAGCTCAGAGCTGGGGAAATCAAAATCACATGGAACTTTGACAGGAATTCACAGATGCACTGTGCTATTGATGTCTTTTGAACATAATTAAACATAAGTTTTATTAATTTTTAATCACTTTAAAATGATGTCTGAGTTACAAAATTGACATGTTCTTTTTGAAATAAGCCCCCAATAGTTGCATAATGTTTTCAGTTCCCAGTTCCTATATAGACGACACTCACTGTGTCCTGGGTGTTAGGAGGGATACAAGTTTATGTCATTTTTCCCCAGATGGAGGGTCTTCACTGTGTAGAACTACAGAAGTATCCCAGGCACTTAAGATACTAAACTTGCCATGGTACAAGAATAAGTGAGGAATGAATGTCAAAAGCAGAAATCAAGCTTAAACCAAGAAAGTCTCCTATACAGTGTCTAAAACATCAGAATCCTTCAGAAATGCCTTCCAGCCAGGAAAATCGGTAGGTGCATTCAGAGTCTGCCAGTATTAAAAAAAAAAAAAAAAAAAAAAAAAAAAAAAGTGACATTTTATAATTATTTATGGCTTGGTTTGCAATGAGGGAAACCCAGAAGGACAAAATTTATTTATCTCTATTTTTAAATGTCTATGGGTATACAGCAAGTCTTCTTGGGAGGGGGAATAAAGAGATGAAAACATGAATTGATAGATAATAAACTTCCATACTTTATTATCCTAACAATCTGTACAGTTATCCTTGAGTTTTTGAGGTATTCATTGCTGTTCCCGCTCCCTCCTTCATAGGTCAGTTTGTGCATGTTTTTAATGAGTCTGTTAGGATAATGAATAAAACAGAATGACCCCAGCTCTATCACACATGCACAAATCAAGCAACTGGAGATCATTAGGGAAGATGACGATATTTTATTCCGGAAGAATAAGTCTCTCTCTTCTTCTGCTCCATTTTACTTAGGAGATGTTGCCTAGTAAAACTTGTTTCCCCTGTAACTACTATGTTACACCAGTTTGTTGATATTTTAAAAGTTGCCTTTCTATGGCCTTGCTCTCTTCCTCCGAATTCTATTTTATCCAAGTGTTTTCCTCTTTTTTTTTTTTTTTTAATACCCAAAGAAATATTGCTTGCTAATTGGTACCAGAAGTTCAAATTCTACAGAAAGGATCAAAGAAAATGTACGGAAACTCTCCCGGCCATGTAATATAGTAAAGTAGCTGCAGCTGCATTGTTACATGCTTTTGTTTTGTCCTTATGTGTCTGTTATGTAAAATATTTCTATTAAGCTATGATGCTGTGCATTATATTGATATGAACTGTCAGAAAGAAAATTATTTACTACCAGTGTTCTGTGCCATTTTTAAGAAAATGTATTGTAATGGAGGGAGAATGATAACTTCTGATTGGGCTGACTCAAGAAAATGCAAGTAAAGGCAGTCTAAGGTAACTGCAGCCAGTGGTCTGTGTCACTTGTGGGATGGGGAACATCTTGTAGTGGGGTTATTTGAGTGTTCCTCTTCACTGACCAGAGCACCTGTCTTTGAAACTGTTCTGCTAAAGCATGTCACTTTGTGTTCTCCACCTGAAGCAGTTTGGAGGGTGAGTATTCAGCTGTCTAAATACACTAGCTAGCTCTGGAACATAAAGCACAAGACTGTTGATTACATTTCTCAGTCACAGCCCTCCAGCGGTTTCCCATGTGTTTCACCCAGTCACTCAGTGCCCTGGTGTCTGCAGGCAGATCTCCTCAGGGCCAACTTACTCCTGGGCAAAAGGTCCCAAGATGTAGTGTGATTTTAAAGTACACACAGGGTGTTTTATGACTTTATGTAAGTCAGCATGTTTCATCTATGAATAGTCACACAGCCCATGGTCCAAAGCTGAATCTAATGGAGGCAAGGTGATTTACACTATCAGTCCCTGTGGTCTGCTACCAAACTTCTCAGTCCTTTCATGTATTTTAATACTGAACTGTGTAGTGGGAAGTCCCTTGACTGTGTGCATTGACTTTTGTTTAATGCCTGTAATGTGTTTAAGCAAGCTTTTCTATTTGTCATTATAAATCAAAATGATCTGTTGAAAGCTGTGTTTAAACTGGTGTTATGTACTCATTTCACTAAGTATGGAGATCCAGAGTGAGAATTATTCCTCTCTTTAAAACCTTATCGAATATAGGTCTAAATCAAAAGGAAATATTTCATTGTCTTGAAGGCTAAATTTTTCTTAAAAAAAAAAAAAAAAAAAAGCTATGGCATGTTACTAATCCCCCTATTCAGATGTTTAATGGAGAATTCCGCAAACTCCTTCTTAATTTATCTAATGTTCAGTAGCTATAAATGCACAGACAACACTGGTTGGCTTCTTTTTATATTTTTGAATAGGGAGATGCTCAAGTTCTCTTTATGGAGGCAATGCCATTATTTTATATATGATGATCCTTTTTAGATTATGTCATGTGATTCATGTGAAATTAAGTATCATTATAGTTGCAAAACTAGATGGCCATTTCATATGTGTAATATAGTACATATTTTTATTAATCTTGGTTTTATTATTTGAGGGGTTGTTTGTTGTGTGTGTGTATTTTTTATAGAGAGCATTTGATATATTTGCATATTTATTTAACAAATTAATTGGAATGAAATGAAATATCATCTCTAAATTGTAACTAGAAATAGTACTGCTAAAACCACATTGAACTGTAAAATAAACTTCCAAAAATAAACTTGATTCCATACTGAGGATAAAAAGTAAGACCAGCATTATCAGTGGAAAAGAAGTATTGAACAGAATGGTGAACCAGGGCTCATTTTTTCTGCTTGCAAACTCTAAGCCAGGCTCAGCTGAATGCTGTGTGACCTTCTCATCTCTGCCAGCCTCTCATAGGGTCCCCAGATGTTCTGGGAGTTAGCAATTATCTCAGCTTCCCCTAGAAGCAGACAACTTGGTTCAATTTAAGATCAACCCAGTAAGGTCTCAACGACCATTCCTGGCTCACTGAACTAAGGGCATTTGGGAGAGCACCTTGCCCGGCAAGATCCAACCCTTCCTTCAGGGTGCAGACTGAGAATTTGGGTCTTAGTCTGCCCTTGGTGTCTGAGAAGAACGAGGATGTCTTCTAAACACGCTGAGCAGACCAGGCTGGACCTAGAACAGACCCTGTCATCAGTTTCTCTTACTCCTTGTCTTGAACAGTTTTAAATGAACATAATCCAGACCACCTCTCTCATGGAAATACTGTCTAAAACAGTAGGTATATTTAACAGAGGGATGGTATGTTTTATGAAAATTCAATGTTTTCATCAAACTATCTGGGGTGATTGCTTCACCTCTGTTTGCTTGCAGATCTTACAAGGAATGTTTGATTAAAGCAAAGAAAGGATATGTGGCCATCATGTCTACCTGCGTGGATGTTTCAAACCCTTTCCACAACATCACTTTCAAAATTATATTTCTGCACAATGTTTTTCATGTCATAGGGATGCTGTGTGTGTGTCCTTTGTCAACCACAACAGCCTCTGTACTAAGTAGTTTGAAGCATGTTGCCTGGAATATTATTAGGAGACAATTACCAAGTGTCTAGCACATAGAAACAATGTTGGGGAGGGACAGAGGTTGAAAATATCATCCTCGGATATTTTGTAAGCTAGCAGTTAATGGATTTATTTTATGCTATATTAGGTCATTAGGCAATAATTATTTCTTAGCCTTATTAGACAATTCAAGTTTCTGACTTCTCTGGTTGCAAGAGGTTTGATTAGTAAAATACAGAACCCTTGGGTAACCACAGGTAGAGACTAGTTTTCCTCTGTGGAGAGGAAAAGGTCAAAAAGGTGGCAGGAAAACTGCGGCGCTGGGCTGTTCCTTGGGGTGCAGTTCCAGCTGTTTGGGAGTGGACAAGACTCTCGTTCCTTATGGGTGGGTAAGAGTTGTGCAAAGGTGTTTTGAGGGTGGGAGCTCTGGGGGTTTAGGAACGGAGGGAGGATGCAGTTGCTGGAAAAGGAAGTAAAGGGAGAATTGAATTTTTGTGCTATTGCTGGGAAAGTCCCTTCAACACCCCCAGGTCCCTTCAACACCCCCAGGATTTTAGCACTTGAACGTTTCACAGCTCAGAGAAGGAAAAAAGAATCGGTCTTTTTCTGTGAACCCCCCACCTTCAAGTCACCCTCTACATTCACCACTTCATTTGCAAACTGACTTTGAATAATTTTCCCTTGGTACCTTATTTCTCATTATTACTATACCATGCTGCCTGGGGCACCCACCAGTACCGTGCTGAGAGCAAGCAGCTGTGACAAGGAGAAATGAGAGGCAAAGCACAAATATAGCAAAAATGAGTAACAATGTCTTTCGTACAGTACAGAGACTGTACTTTTTGTCTTCCCTGTCTCACCCATTTGTAGTAAGTTTAGCAATGGCAAGATTTTGAGAACGTTTTTCTTCTTGCTCATCTTCCTGTTTTTAAAGTATCAGACTCACATAGGTCAAATGTGCGGCTGCACAGTTTTTTGAAGAGTTGAAACTGAAGAAGAGAATGCATCATCAAAGAAGCCCTCCTGACCTCAAGGGAGCTGATTACTGTTAAAGTGCAAGTAAAGCAGAGGCAGTGAAAGCTTTACACATGCTTTAAATGCAGCCTTCTTTCAATTTTGTTTGATGGTTCCAGCAAACATTAGAAAGAATTTGTCTGAGAAACAGCTTCAAGGAGTCCTAATTTTTTTATTAAAGCTTCTTACTCTACAGGCAAAAGAGTTTTGAATGAACAAATGAATGGATGAAACTCATTTTCATACATTCTCTGCCACACAAATCTCTGCATTGAACGCTGATGGGTTTGGATCAAAACAAGTCCACAAAGACTGTCAAATGAGAAACTTTTTTTTTTCAGAAATAGCTTTAGCTAATTTTAATATCCCAGATAGAAGATCTAGCTGTGCAAAAATACTTTTTTTTTTTTTTTTGGGAGCTGTGGGGAAAGAGATTCATCATGCCTAATACATAATATAGCTTTCCCTTTGTACAAAATGAAATTCTTACAATAATTTTCTTTCCACTGGAAAAAATATTTGTGTAAATTTACAGTAAACAAAGATTTGTCAGGTCAAATGTGATCTGACATAAATTTAAGCATATCTAGTGGAAACACCTCAAGCAAGTCTCATTCTGAATCACCCACCCAACTCAGGCTTGAGCTCAACAGCAGCTTTCTCCTGGTGCTGAAGCTGAGGCAAGAGGCTGCCTTGTAAGCGGTGCCAAAGGCACAGCTGAAGTGAGGGGAGTGCAGGCTGGGGGGGGAAATCACCATATGGCTCCTAGGCGGTGGCAGCTCTGTACGTGAAACTGGTTCCAGGTCTGCCAAGTTAGTCCTGAAGTCCTTCAAACCCCCAGAGCAACCCAGGACAGAAGAAGATGAGGTGATGAGGCATTTTTCACCTCATCTCCAGAGGCTGTAAATTTTGTACCCAGCATCTGAAAGCCTTGCCTCAGGCTATCTTGTTAGGGTGGGATCAGATTTAATACCCCTGCGCCATGTTTCAGTGTATAAATGGTTTAGTTACAGCAGACTTTACACTTTCATTCTAAAATTACTTGCAGTCATTGGTGTACATCTCGCTTCTGGCACTACATACTCAAAAGGCTTTTTTTTTCTCCTGGCTTAATCTGAAAAAAAAAGCTTAGATCATTTTCAGTGATCACATTTTCCTCACATAAATCGAGACTCCACACTTTGAATTTACCCAGAACAAACTGTAATAAAAAAGAAAATTTTGCCTCCTTATTGGATGTTAAATCTGAGTTCATATTCACCACTTTTTGTCAGCCTAGTCTTTTTAATAGCAAACACCTGGTTCGGGGCTGCTACTGCAGATTGCTAGCAGCACTGTTACCATAGCTAGCTCAGAGAGACAGTTTTCAGTAGCTTTCAGGCTGAGTCTGTAAGATGAGTTTTTCCAAGATGAGTCTGTCATAGCTGAGCCCCGTGTCCAAGACTCAGTGATCTCAGCTTAACAGCACAACAAGGGAGAGAAAAGTCTTTCCGCAAGTGCTCTGGACTACAACTGTCAATGCTACAAGCCTCACAGTAAATCTCTAGAAAAATTATGTTGGGTTCATTTTACTTTTCGGATCTACAAATGATTCACTGTTTTCGCTTTGTTCAAGCACTGGCAACTTGTGTCTAAATGCTGCCTAGCTGTACCCTGGTGTGCAAGTACATGGGGTTTGTTTTACTGTAAAACTGTTTTATAATCATCCGCTCAATTAAGCATGTTTTGTTTTGCAGCAGTAGGTCATCAGATTCACCCATGGAAACAAGTTTATAGTTATATTTCCCTGAGGTTCATTTTCTAGTTAGTTTCTTTCATTCATCCAAAGTCTGAAATGAACTCTAAGTAAGCATACTTGTTTGTTCAGCTAGTGACTTAGAAAATAAACTTACCCTTTGTTCAAGAAGGGTGACTTCCCCTCCCAGTGCAGAGGACAAGTCTAAAGCCTACCTGTCAGTTACATGCCAGTCAAAAATGGCAAAAACCAGTTCAGAGACTGCTCAGAGGGTCAGCCTGCTGCTGATTAGCTGCAAAGGTGCAGGTCTTCCCCAGAGAGCCCTTTTTAGAGCAATCTTCATTCATATTCAGTAGTGCCTTCAAAACATCATTGCTAAAAAGTCAGCTAACAAAGCTTATTTGATCATTGCAATTTAGGTAATACTCATAACATAGGTGAAACAGTGGACTGAATTTTGAGTGCATTTCCTAGCCCAGTCCCTCTCCTCTCCCCTTCACTGAGTTGGGAGTCATCTGTCATCTCTCGCTCGCACATCTCCAAAGCAGCATTTCTCAAGTGGTGTCTGTGGACCATGGGAGAGAAATCCATTGAGTGCTTTCAGACATCCCTGTAAGAAAACAGTCCAATGGAGGTAGATAAATCTTACAAATGACTAAAAGAAAGGCAAAAGTATCTTCAGTTCAGTCACAAGTGAGAATGAACACAACACTGTGAAAGACAGACCGTAGCTGCTTTTCTAAATACTCATCCTTGTACTACAGAAGCACCACAAACAGTGTGAGGCTTCATTCCTCCGGATCCCATCCCTTTGAGTTTCGGTGGGCAGCAGTCAGCTTTGTAATTTATCTGTTTATGCAGACACATTTTCGCTTATCACAGCACCCACCTGCCTTGCACACACTGCTACAACCACAAGACCTGATCTTGCATGCAATCTGGTTTCCTTCCTGCCCAGGCCGTGGCAGCTGGGTGCTTTCATTGCCCACTGCCCACGTGAGATGGCAGCCAGCCCCCCACTGCAGCTTCCAGCTCCTGCGTGGGACTCTGCTCAGCCTGGGGGGCTTCGGCAGTGCTGTGATGCCAAGCCCCGCCACGGTGTTTGTATATTCTTGCCATAGAAGTGCTGGCTGCAAAAAATAACTCGTTAGTCCAGCTGAGTGTAATTTTTAATGTTGTTTTCCTCCTAAAGCACTGTCAGTTGGGGCCACCAGTTTCTTTCACATCCTGGTCCTGTTTACTGCCTCATACAAAGGAGAAGACTAAGGTTTAGCAGCCCTGAGACATTCTCTTGGATTTTCTTTCATGCCTGAGAGGGGATATAGCAATATCTCTTAATACAGGTCACTGATTCATGACTCACTGTCTTTTATAGCACCTTATAGCAGATCCTTTCCTGTAGAGAAGGACGTATTCCAGATACAAAGACACTCCTGAAATAATGTTTTTCTCTAAGGCTGAGAACATAGAGAAAGAGGGGCACACGAGGGTCTTGCAAGGGCCTAGAGAATCAGCCTTTGGGTTCCTTTCCTTTTAAAAGAGACAACTTCATATAATTGCAGAATTGGCTCCTCCATGGACTGGGTTTTTTAGGTCATTCTCACAGAAACATTGCTTTGAAAAAAGCAGCAAACATAGGTCACAGTGTTGAGCCTTTCATTTCAAACTTTTTGCCATGATGTGTAACAAAAGAATAACCAGCTTTTATGGAACTGATTTTAATGTACACAGTGGAAATATGTGAGTGATGGGGAATCCTGAGTGCAACAAACTTCAGTGAGGAATTTTACATCAGCAGCATGCATTTATTAACGCTTGTTGATGAGGACAGATCAGGACTTTTCTGCTTCTGGCAGGAAGTAGCAAGGTGGTACAAAAATGGCAGCAGAAAGCTGGGGCCTCAGATTTATCTTTTGCCCAAAGATCTTCCTAGCACTGCATTAGGACTTGGTTCATTACTGACTCAGAGAGTAGATTGCCAGCTGAAGCGCTTCCAAAGCCACTTCCTGCCGTGCCTGGATTTTCTTTGGAAACTTCTCAAGTGGATGCTGGCCTTGCTTAGATTAGTAAGAAGTAAGCCTAGGGTTGTGCAGACTGTTAAATCTCACAACCTGGGTTTCAATCATGTGTCTTAATCACATAGTGGTACTTACGCTATTTCTGTAATGTGTGCTACTCTTGAGCAGAAATATCAGAGCTTTCTCTCCATACTTAGCAACTGCCTGTACTCTGGGCCATGGTTAACTCCATGAGCAACTCTTAATTCACGTATTAAATAGAGTTACAAAGTGCTTTACAAAGTGCTCCGATGGTTCAGCTACAGGCTTTATTTTTTTTTTTTTTTTTTTTAGAAAGACTATGAGGAAGAGATTTACTTTTTGGCAGGCAGGAGAGGGAAGTAGGTTTATAAAGCAATGGCAACCACTGCATTGAATCCTCCTACTCTTCTAACATGTCTTCCCATTTCACTAGACTTCATTGCCAAGAACCGTAGTGTATCCTGACCTTTGTGGCAAACAGGCTCAGTTGTAGCCAGCAGCCTGGAATATTTGGAGGACGCAGTAAGGGGTGAGATTTCTAAAACTTTGGCAAAGTCAGATCCATCTTCTACCCTGCCTGCAGTTTTCAGAACAGGCAGCCTCTCACATCAGACTGCTTCATCTAAACTCCTACTCAAAACATTCCCATATTGAGCCCAGCCTGACATTAAAACTCACAATTATAAGCCATGAAAATTATGAATCAACATTTATTGATGATATGTACATAAGAGGTACAACACTTAGTGAAATATTATATTCACAGCTGTTTCCAGTATAGAAAGAATGTCTAGTCTGTTTTACACATGAAAGTTACAGAAATCAGTTCACACCGTAAGAAAGCATTAAAAGCAACTAACTACTGATCATTTTAAGGAGGAAAGGATCTGAACTACAAAAATAGACTCAGTCTATGAGGCATTCCAACTACCATATACAAGAACAGAGCCCAGAGTTGGGAGAAATTTTATCATCTGCATTCATTAGTTTTTAAACAAACTGTGCTATAGATACTGTACAGTATGTCATTTCAAAATCTGAGGAACTTTTTCAGTGTAAGGAAAAGATCAACCTTATCTCTCTTCCTTTTTATCCTTTTTAAATGAAACATCTCAAAACATTCCAGCTCATGCCTGGTCACTTTTAACAGAAGGGTAGGGAAGATGAATAGGCAGCACACAGTACTGTAGTGTTCAATTCACACTGAAGCCTTTGAAGCCTTGTAACAGGACTCACCCAGCAGGATAATGCCTGTGCTTTGGGGCCTGATTTTGATCTCTTTCCACTTACAGGGGATGATTATATTTATGAGGTGCAGGCCCATGTCATCTAGGAACAAACCAGCTTCTTCTTGCTGTCCCAAGCTCTTTCAGAACCACCTTCAGGTTTTGACGCAGAAAGGTCTTTCTTACAGATTTGAACTGTAACCCTGATTTCACAAAGTTTTTGCCACTGACTACACAGTTGACACGTCTGTTCCACAATCAGACATACTTTTTGTGAATAACAGGCCTGTACAACAACCACAGTAGCTTGAGAAGCATTCAGCTCTGCATTTAATTTCCAGTATTAATAGCTTTTTTTAACTATGAAAGAAACCTTTGTCTGTGAGTATATTAATCTTTTTGAGAGGCTGTTCCTGCCAAGGGGATAAGGCAGAGGTTCCTGCTTTGACGTCCTGGGCAGCCCGGGGAGGACTTGCCCCATCACCGCTGTGTGACTGCACTCGTGCTGCCAGTGGCTGTGGTCAGGGAGGAACTGGAAGTGACTCGGAGGGATCCCGCGGTGCTGTGGCGTGACCAAGGGCTGAATGATGCACAGTGCACCGAGTCAAAACCAGCCAGGGCATCCAGAGGGAATGTAGAGTTTGATGGATTCACCCTTATTCACTGTGTCAGTTTAAAGAGCGACTTACTAACTTCTGGTGATAAAGAGCCCCAACATTTCAAGCAAAGAAGAAGAAAACAAAACAGAAACTAATCATTGTAGGTGAACACTAATTCTTAAGGTCATAACAGCTGCATTCACAAGGCAGCAAATCTATGCTGGGATCACTTTCACTCACTGTCAGGGAACTACACACATGCAGGTACTAACATACACCACACTGGTTAGATAGCTGAAAACTAAAAATAACATATTTACAATAAGTTGGCTGCATACACAATCCTGGATGTTATCAGAACAAGATACTCCATAATAGACAGATAAATCATTTATCAAGTTTGGAATCTAATCGGCTGAATGGCCAAAAGGATATAAACCCAGATATAAATGAAAAACAGGAAGTAGAACAAAATTTTAAAAGACAGTCTAATTTTTTACTATGGTTCAATACACAGACACCAGTTAAATTAAAGCACTGCTAACACATAATGTATACACCATTTCACTGAAATTACATGTTGATAGCTACATTATCTACACTAAGTGCAGAGAGGCACTGGACATCATGCTTCAACAAAATGTCAAAACTGGTATCAATAAGGTTTTACAACTATTAGTAACTCAGCACTATTCTACCTGTGGTTCCTATTAAGATAATACCTGGTATATCTGATTTAAAATACAACAAAGATTAAAACACAAGGGTGTATCAACACACTTCCTACATGTTTATCTACTAGAAATTTAGTCTCCAAATCCTCAACAGAATATCATGGCCCCATAGATTTCTGAGTATCAGTCACACTGGGACAGCAGTACTTGCTATTCAATGTTTTGTTTGTTTTGAATCACAGTCAAAGAGCTAGTAGGCAATAAAAGATTTTTCTGTGATATAATTGTTATGAATATTTATATTTATTTATTTTTATTCCTCTTAAAACAGTTCCTTGCTAATTAAATAGAAATTATTATAGCCACGGCCTTAATGCCAACAGGTATTTGCCTAATGGGAACAGATGACCATAATAAAGAAGCAACTCTTACTTGTCCTGGTCAAAAAATATAGTGGTTGTTCTCTTTAAAATACATAAGAAAGCAGGAGGTATTTGTACAGATGCTACCCAATTACACTGGTCCCATGGTGGTTCAGTTGGTCCCTTTTCAAGAAGGCAAAGGTAGGTGCCCAAATCACGAACTCTTTCCACGGACTGAATTCACATAGACTGTATTGTAGAAAGATGGACTGGGTACCCTGATAGCATATTTTTTGCCTACCTGGATCTCCACTTTTCTATAAACTGTATTCTGAATCAGTCAATTACACATGGTCAGATCCTAAGAAAGAACTGAAGGATTTGGCAAACATAACACCAGGAAAAATGACAAAAATGAGGGACGATTGCCCAAGACAGTCAATCTAGAAGATTGTTCAGATTATTATAACATTGTTTCATAATGAACTGCAGCATTTAAGGACATCTTGAAATTCCTATTTGCTTCTTGCATCTTGTGCTTTGTTTATAATTCATCACTAAACATAACACAAAAATATTTCATCGATCTTAAATGTTATAAGAAAACTGCTTTTGTTCTAAGGTACAGATCACCTTTAAAGGATTATTCCCCTACTTTTTATGGTCATATAGAAAACATTATAAGAAAATATTAGTGTGTCTGTAAATTACAGATACTAGGTAATTTAGTGCAGTCTACACTGTAGTTTCCAGAGAACAAGTACAAACCCCTTACACCTGTATTAATAACTAAATAAGTATTGAGCATATAATATTTAACAATATAAATACATATGCAGCTTTTTCTCATGCATCCTCCAAGCTAGAGTTCACACTGGATAATAGGAAATTGGATATATTCAAGAAAGGAGCAGGATATGTTGGATGGAAGTTTATGCAATTGTCTTTAAGAAGGAAGGACAACCTGTAGTACAGAAGAACTCACAAGCCCATACAAAACACCAAAATGGAAATGCTATAATCTACAATACTGAATGCAAAATCAATTTGTAAACACAGTTTGCACACAGTCTTTGAAAAACTGTAGAAGAAAATAGAAAAGAATGATACAAAAATCCCTGCAAGCTATACTATTTATTTTACAAAGCAATATACAGGTACCAGGCAATTCAGGTTGTGTGATGCTGCCTACGTCAGTTTCCCTTTGTGTAATGGCATGTGCCACAGAGCATCATTAAAAACAATCGCAGGACTCCTGAATTTTGAAAAATCAGTCTAGAAGGGTTGGACACTCTGGCATCAATCAGCATTGGCTCTGCAGCAGAACGTAGCTAGAAGTGAATGGGAATTAAAGGTTGGGTGAAGTGAGAAATCTTACAAGTCTTCTTGCCTCCCCAAATTCCACATTATCCTGTTGGTTATTTCCATCCCAGACTAGTAGAATCCTACTCAGTGTCTCCATCATATGCTCTGGGTTTTTTCAATGTTTGGAACCTGGGTTTTCCATAAGACTTGTAGTTGCAACTGCACAGACACCTTACCAACCTTATCAACCCAGTAGTGGGAAGTCGGCAGGCTTCCACCAAGCAGGGGAAGATGTCTCTGGGATGGTGGGCACATGCAAGGGATGGTTCCTCAGAGTCTTGTGCCAGGGAGCCCACTCAGACAAGAAGTAAAAGAATTACCGACACCTGGGCATCAGCAGCAGTTTGATTCCTTAATAGCAGCAGATTTCAATTTAACATCAGACATGAGCAGGAGGAAAAAATGAGGGAGGCACCCATTGTACAGTCTGTACCCAGACTCCATTGCTGGGGGCTTTACCAGAGTCCTGCCTTAGGTGTGTGGAACAGTAGTCTGTGCTTTGAGGACCATGGAGAGACACAGCCTTGGTGGCTATGTGGGAAAAAAATATCAATGACTTTGGAAGAAATATGCACTACATACATTGTTTCAGGTAAATTGTGAGCAAGAACATAACACTTTCAAAAATAACATGGCAAAGATGAACAATTTGTTTACAGCTCTTGACTGCCTTCTTTGACATTTCAGTATTGCAATTCCTTTTTTTTTTTTTCTTTTTTTTTCATTACTTGAAACTAAACTCTACATATCATAATTCTGACAAAGGAAATTGGGTAAATATTTTTCCTTCAAAGTCATCAATATGATAGAAGAAAATAACTCATCTTCCCGAGAGTGCTTTCTGATGGGAACAGGAGATTTTACATAGTCTTATATAGTGAATTATAGCCAAGGTTAATTGTTCCAATGGACTACACACCTATGATAATAACTAATGTGAAAGATATCTTAATCATGGCCTTAGAAGTCACAGTAATAAAATCGAGGATAGTTTTCTGGCTCATAACAGATTAATATTACAGTACAGTTTTATAAAGTGCCCTTATTTATCCTTCTGTAGATTAATTCAAATGCAGCAACAGAAATACACAAATGGAACTTAATGAAATGAGAAACAGTTATATCTTTACATCTACACAAAAGGATTCTTCTGAGCCTGGTACTTAAGCTCAGAGCCTTTTTAAAGATAAATACAGAAGTGAATGTCAGAGGTGAGGTTTAATACTGCCTATGGTTTGAGGGATTTGTGTGATTGCTGCTGTGTTGCTACAACAAGGCTGCAACAACATAAGTGAAGGCAAGGAAGCAAAGAAAACCCAGGTAGTTGCCAGAATAAATTTGTTCAAACATTGCTGCTGTAGCTTCTCAGATGAACAGTCTGCTCTCCTGAGCATCTACTCTGGGAAAACTAATGATCCTAGGAATGATGGAAAACATATCGAAAATCTACATTACTTGTATGTTTTACAGTGGCACAAAGTTTGGAACTCCATGTGCTGAGAAAGAAATGAAGATCAGCTGTATTTCAGGGAAGAAATGGAAAAACAACATAATGATAGTGATCCTTATTTTTGTGCTGAGTTTAAATTCACTGCTGGACTTGTAGCATAGAAACAGGCAAAAAAAAAGAAGCATCTTAGAAATCTTTTGGATGTGAGAATCAACTTCATTATAAATAGCAGCCAAAGATTATTCCCTAGGATGGGACTGTGAAATGTCTTAAAACTTAATGGAGACAGGAAGGGAGTTGACCTTCCCTGGAATTCTGTGACTCCCATAGATTTCAGTGGGGCTTTCATCTAGTCAGAGCATTGCAGGCACACGTTTTACTACAGCAAACAGTTTTTCAAAGACATACTGAGTTTCTCACCAATTCAAATGGAAGGAGCACATCCCACAATACGGTTCAAATGGTTTATCCCCTACCTATCTGAAGCACCTCTATGTATGAGACCCACTCATGTTTCTTACAACGTTGATGTAGCCTTTGTCTTCTAAGGGAAGCAATGAAGAAACAAATTCAGTAGCAAAGTGCTCCGCCTCTTCTGTACTTTGAGCATACAGTACGCTTTAGTTTCAGTGAACAGATAGTAAGAGAATGCTGACCTAGCTTCAGCAGTAAGTGCGTAAAACAAATGCATAAGCATGTACTTAAATAAGCATAAAATTAACTGAGTCTTCGCCTGGTCTAGACTTTTCCATGTGCCAGTGTGCTGTCAGCAATCCAAAGGGCAAAGGGCAGCACACTTGCACAGACATGGGTGGAGGGAACCGACAGAGCAGCAAATGAGATGAATGTAGGAAGAAATGTTAATTTGTTTAGGAACTACACAGAAAACAAATCATATTCCACTGTAGTTTAACTTTGCCACCCCAGCACTGCGAACAAATACAAAAGATTTGCCAGATGCAAATTAGTGCACCAACACTCCTAGTGAAACTAAAAGGAGACTGGTCAGTAACCAGCACTGCCTGCGTAAATGTGAACCTTGTATTAGCTGAAGTGGCCAGCCTCTGGGTTATTTTCTGTTTATTTAGTTAAGTAGCAACCCAGCCTCATGTGGAATGAGCAAATCGAGAAATGTAAGCCAAGAGTGAGTTACATTTTCCCAAAGAAATGGAAAGCTTTATGATGGTTAAATACAGTGCTGTGCTGGAGTAACACTACATTAAATATTCAGCCAGGCTAAAAGCAGAAGAGTATACCAAAAACAGCATTTCTCCTTCTCCCACATCTACATTTAAATAGAGAAATACTATCGTAATTATCTTTTGAAACATCCCTGAGTTACTGTATCTACAGAATTACTATTTTAAAATCACAGTCTGCTATTCTAGTCCTATCAAAAGAACTAAATTTATTCTCCTTTACGTGGGTGGAGTTTCTCTATCATCTCAATCCTTCCTCCCCGGTCTCCACCCAAAGAAACACTCTTCAAAGAACAACACATCCCAAGGGGATAAGTGCAAGAATATTCTAAGTGTTTCTCAATATGTAATTTTGTGGAGATGCCTAGTCACATGTTTCTGGCATTCCTATTTGTTTCCAACTGCTAATAGTTTCAAATGACAGCTAAAAGTGTACGGACCAGTTTTCTAAAGCTGTTCCTAAGAAACTGCTACAGTGAAGAAGATGGAAAATCACCTATTAATGTGTGAGCTGTGCCATGAAACAGCTTGAGAATTCTGGATATAAACTGGGGCGAACACTGCATGTTATTTTTGGATAGAACTACCACCCAAGTCACAGCAAACTTCACTTGATGTGAGCCAGCACATTCAAGAGTAAGGAATATTTTAGAGCACCTACACATTGTCCCAGGCACATAATTCTGTGGTAAAAATGTCTTCGAATGCAAATTTGGAGAAGCAGCAGCTAGCTATAGGTTAACTCTGGATATGCTAATATCAATAAATGAAGAAAAGAGAAGACAACCTGCCTACCACTTCTCTGAATAGCCTGTAATTCCATTCCTCACAAAAAAAAAAATCCTTAAGATGCTTCAGGAGGCCTCTGGAAAAGGTCTCCACCTCTAATACATGTTAGAGGCCTACAGAATTCACAGTGGTTCAATAATTGCAAAATTATATAGGCCATTTTGCTTAGGATTGTAGCCATGGCATGCAAGTGAGGACAAAAATACAATGGCAAGAAAAATATTCCACAACAAATGATTAATTGAGGGATATTCTGGTAAGGGACTTGATCTTGCACATCATTAATCATGCAAGTAGCCTTGGCTGGCTCACATCCATGTGCATTTTTGGAGATATTTATACGAATGCACATGAGCAAAAGCAGATTATATTTACAATTTGCTGGCTTCTACAGAGCCAAATACCACTCTACAGTTAAGCCGTTATTCCTGTTTAAACACAACAGGTCTGAGCACAGAGAGTGAATGGCCTATTTCTGTAATGTTTCAACTCTGTTTTCTGTCATTTTTAAGTTCACTGTATGCTCATATTCTGATTTGTTTTGAGAACCTCTGAGAGCTCCCCCAAAAATTGCACAAAGCTTGTTCTGTGTGTAGAGCCTCCCAAGGCCATGTGGCTCAGATTTGCTATAGAACATTGCTAACAGTATAATGGCATTTACCAGTGTCTTAAAACTGCTAAATATTAACAAGCACCTTTAAAAATACTTCACAGGGTGATTACTGTGACTGTATTTTTTTCTGACAGGATGAGTCAGCTGTACTATTTTGACAAAACACCATCTCATTAATTCAGAAGCCATGTTCTCTAAGAAACATTTGACATTAGAGAGTTACATGAATTGTTACTCTGCAAAAGAGAGAGATATGTATATTCAATGTACTGGTCTAAATCCTGAAATTCTGGTTTATTCTTCATTCAGTCCTAACCCTGGCCAAATTCTATTAACCTCATATGGAATTTGGCTTAGCAACAAATTTGGGATTTAGCTGCTCTCTGAAATAAGACATATATTTGAAAGATGGTTTTCATTGCACACCAAATACTACTGATGATCACATGCAAAAACTCTCAGTTTCTTAGAGTACTCTCAGTTTCTTAGAGTAATGGATTCAGAATTTGCTTATAGCTCTGTATCAAGTACCCAATCACGAAATCTGTGGTCAGTCAGTCTTAGTAGCACTTTACTTAAGTAGTCCCGTCCACATACAGAATCCCTCTGACATCTGTGGAGCGGGATGAGTTGTAAGGTGCTACCTACTTTAATTAAGAATGGCATAACTGAGCCCATAGCATTCTGTATTTTGTACATCAGGCATAGATTTAGTGAAGGAACTACCACCCCTGCCATAATAATACTGCCTTGTATTATATGATGCATTGTGGTCACAAAGCAGCACAGCCCCATCATTAAAAAAAGGCTGCACCTGCCATGGGACAGCTGATGAAAGCATATCACATGCACGTACAAATCTAAGGTCTTTTCTTGATGCTAAGGATTAGTTGCATTGATCTAACAAACAGTTTGGGATAATTTATTGACTTCTATACATTAGTCTTGCTCCTGGATCTAAGTTCAGTTTAAAGTACAACTAGGCACAAAAATACAGTGCTTGTTATTATTAAAACAAATAGAAATCTTTATGGACATTTTCAAAAGGTATTTTAGCCATACAGTGCTAAATAGATCAGGTATGACACAAGAGTCACCAAAACACTTGAAGGTTTACGTGGTGTTATGTTTCTCTTGTATTTGTGGCCCTGAGTCCCTGTAGTGAACTGTACTGGCACTTTGATCTTCCCATTTTGCAGCATTTACATTCTGTGTGTCTTGAATAAAAGGGGAGGCAGGTGAGAGCACACTGCACTGCATGGAGAATTCTCCAGCTGCATCATCCAAACATTAACACAAGGGAGACAGATGGTTATGCTTGGCAAAGACACTACAATGACTTGATGAGATCTTTGCTAAGTTTCACTTAAGAAATTAAGTAAGCAGAAACCGTAGATGTTAAATAGAAAAAAGAGAAATCTTCTTTAATCGTGATATCTTTTGCCAGAAGATAGCTTCAGGGCTTATTAAAGATGGAGCTAGCAATCTCTTCCCTTAGTTTTCACGTTTCCAAGGCTCTTCTTCAACAACACTGAGATCTGCAGATTTGCCATTAGTTGCCAGTGTTACCTGCAAGTAATTATCATCAACAACCAACTTAAACACCAAGGCACTTTGACAAGAAAAGTAATGAGTTTGATATGGAAGATCATGATATTTACAGGAATTACATACACCATGTCTTATTATATCTCTGAAATATATTTATTCAGAATTCATAACACTCCCAAATAGTGAGACTCCTGTTCATTTATTACACTGACTAGAAAGCACTAGCAGTAGGAAAAAAGTTCCATATTTTCTTAGTCTTTGCTGTAGTTCCTTTCTTTTAAATAAATATTTCAGGTTCTACTCCTTTCTATCTCTTATAGATTTCTCTGGATTATTCAAAAAACAGATTACTTTGTTTTTTCTTTTTTTTTTTTTAATGTAGGAAATCATGTATTTTCAGTGGAATTCCTTAGAAAAGCCAGATAGATGGTGCAAGGACATGAAAAATATACAAGGCCAGATTAATTATAGATGTGTATCTATACAAACTCACCTACAATTACATCACCTTTATAGAAATGGAGGAAAAGATATGCTGTGAAAGTATTGTTGATCATACCATTATTTCTAATAATGTAGTGAAAGATTTCAAATATAGTCAGACCAAAAATTCATAGCAATGACATGTTTGTCTTGAACAAAGTACAGAAAAATATCACTCTTGTCTGTAAAGATATGTGCTAAAATTTTTAGGTTTTAAGTATGGTAGAAGACCTATAGTGATCTACCAACTCACAGTAAGCACTGGCCATTATGTTGCATCCCAGAAATCACTATAAATAAACCCATGCTTCAAGAAAAATAGCTCCAGCCAAAAGACTTAAAAAATTTTAAAAAGGTAACATGTCACTTTAACTTTACAAAAGTAATCTGGATCTTTATAACTGTGAGAGAACCCTTCATTTAATTCTAAATGGATGGCTCACTCTTTCGTAACTTACCTTGTAAGTTAACATCCTCAGCTTCAAATGAAAACTTAAAGACAGAGCTGAAATTCCCCATGCTGGATAAACTAGATGCATGGAAGCATTGGGACATGGAAACATGACAAAATGCACTGATTTTTGAAACTAGGTCAAGTTTTTTCTCAGATAATTGGTAGGGGGAAACATGCAAATACAGAAATGAACAGCTTATTCACAAATTAAAATCACATAAAGTCATGTGAAATATGGAAATAAAAAAATACAAAAATATCATGCAATAATAACCATTCTACCCCCATATAAAGATAAACTACTTAGAAAAAATATATATTGACCATGCAAAATTATTATCTAGTAGCGTTATACATGGAATATATTACAGTAAGTAAACAGAAAGGACATGCTAGTAGATTAACTTTTTCAAATTCTGACCAGAGTTGCAGTGAGCCTTTCAACCCACCAGTGCATTTGACAGGATAAAGAGATGGCTCTTCAGATTTAACAGCTGGCTGTTTTGAAGCCCCACATCCTATACTCTGTTGCTTTTGCTACTCTAACACTTGGGAGCTGTAGAACACTTCAACATGATCCAAATGCTTTGCTAATGTTAGCACATATTCATAGCTTATAAAGCAGACTGTAACATCACATCCTTTTGTCAGTTTGCAGGCAGACACACAGACAAGTGACCTGCTCAGAGTCAGTCTTGTGCTCAATCCAGTAAATCCTGGCTCTTTCCATGAATTTAAAAGTGCAAAATGAGTTCGCAAGCAGAGCAAACCTAAAACAATGGAAAAAGACAAAAAAGTCTAGCTCATAAAGCACTGGTCCCAAGTTTTAATTAAAGGGTGTGCTTAGGATGAGATACCACACCATTTATCCACGTTTTTGAGGTAAATTAACACTTCAACTGAGTGAAAATGATAAGAGAAACTGTAGAACAAAAGGAAGTGAAGCAAGTATTGCATCAACTGGATACTACTTTCTAGCATGACCTGGAGGATCTCTGTGCAAATCTGAGGGACTGGAAGGAGATAAAATTATCAGTATTCAATTCCATGAATCTGATTCAGACTGGTATGTGGTAACTGAATTTGTCTTAAGACCACTGAAATTAGCATGGTCTATTTCACTGAAAAACAGTTTTCCAAAAGTTCCAAAAGAAGTTAACCAAAAAGTGTGTGTGTGTGCGTGCATGCTTGTTTTTAATGAAAAAAATCTTTTATCAAATGAGATCTTTCTCTTGAGAGATTTTCCTTTTCTTCCTTCAAATTTTAATCTCTTCTGTGTCTTTTAGTTTTTTGAGAAGTTTAAATTAATGACAATTTTTAATTTTGTGTATGCATGTATTCTCTTTCCATTTCAAAATTTTTTTCTTTAATTTTTCTCATGGAAAAAAGAGTGAGTCAGAAGAGGAAGGGGGGAGCCATATCAGAAAAAAATGTTTTTATTTTAAAAAATCACTTTATTAAAAAATTGGAAGATTCAGGAAAAAAATTGAGGATAAGATGAAATTTTTTTCTTTCCTGAATTCAGTATTACATTTTCCCCTGGAAATTCAGGTTTGACCTGACATTACCTAGAACTAAGCATTAGAAAAAAATATATTCTAAAGAACATTTCCAGCCAGGCTGTAGACAGGTGAAAAAGATAGAATAGGACTTAAGTTCCCAATATATATGGTGATCTGCTAATGGACTTAGTGTGGGCATTCACAGTGAGATACTGGCTCAGTTGTGGCAACTGGAAGATGCAAGATAATCTGTTTGGATAAATGGCTGAGGTAGGCTCACTGGATCATATCAGAGTATTATTAAATAATAAAAAAAAAAGCCTATGAAATTAAAAGTTCCAGCTTGTTTCAGTTTCTTTCTCTTCCTTTTCAAAAACTTTCTCTCAATTTTAAACTGCCCCGTCCTAGTGGTGGGTGTTTCGGAAACTTTTAACCACTAACCTCCACAAGTGTTTTCTCATTCAACTGGTGAGGTTTCTCAAGCTCACTTTGCTCTGATCAAGATGTTATTATTACTATTAATAATTCATGTTAGTCACAGCAAGGATTAGAGAAACCATACAATATTTGTGTCTTAATGACTCAGGAACAATGATGGAAGCAAAGCATAAGCATGCTGTATGAGTGCAAGAGCATTCTCATGCTAAAGTGCATTCAACATGTCCATCTTGGAACAGCATATCGTGGAAGGCAGTCAGCAAATGACAACACCTGTATGTGAACTGCAGCTATCCTTTATTTGGGTTGGCAATTAAGTTCTCTGTTGCTATAGAAAATTACGTAAATGTCCATAGAAGGTGTGATGCCATATTCTCTGCATCTTGGCATATTCCACAATATGCTGCATCTTGCCTTTTTATATGTAAACATGATTTTTTCCCCTCAAATGACAACTTTTAAGAAAAGTGCAAAAAACCAATCTTCTGAACTGCCCAAACTCATTCAAAATGTCTGGGTTTCGTGGACCTTGTCGTCACATTGTTATTTGCAGAATGATTTGAAAAATACATGCAGGTTAAAAAAGAAGATAAAATAAAGCATGCAGTGCTATATACATGTCTCAATATCCATAAATGTGAAAGGTACCTTGCACTCATCTACTATGACTGAGTTGTGAGCTGTAAAAACACATTGGTTTGAGTTGTTTTCCCTATGATTTTTCATGTCGTCATAGATTGACTGAGTCTTGGTCATTTCAATGTCTTCGTGCCCTTTATGATGGGAATCAATGGTGTCAAGTTCTGCCTTGGAAAGGTGGTAGACAATGCCAGCACCAAAAGAATCTCCCACTACATTGACGGATGTTCTCATCCGGTCCCTACAAAAGAAGCAAAAGGCAGAGGCTGAATGTCATGAAAGGAAGAAATAGTAGGGCATGACAGCCCTGCTAATGTTACAGTTACTGCATTTATTTCAGAAAGTTTAAGGCATCTTTAGAACAGAAAGATAGGAGCTTTCAAGTGAAACTGAAAAAAATTGCTTTCCCAGGGGACTTGTTTAGACAGGGAGGATGTGCAAACTCCCATGTCCCAGCTGCTCATACTCATGGATTTTGGCAAAGAACTTGTGTTAGAGACACAGCCAAACTGCAGAGCTGTGCTTGACTGAGATCTCCCCATCGCCTGCTGCTGGAGCCAGAGGTTTCAGTGTCAGGGTGTCAGGCTCACATCATTGTCCTTTGTTTAATCTGAATTTATCAGAGCAGTGAACTTAATGCAGCCAGAGAAAAGGATTTTGGATCTAATGAAGTGTTACCATTTCTGGGATGGATTAACAAAGGGTCTCTCCCTTTATTCTCAATGAGCAAACTGTGGGGAAAAAAATGCCTGAAGTCTCCCCAGAAGGCTCAGGCCACCGAAGATCCTCACCTGGCACCTTCTTTGCAGATGATCATCTGTTAGCATGGCAGCATGCCCACGCACACTACCGTATGCCAGAGCTCAGCATATGAGCCAACCAAATATAGGTCATGGCCTACAAAATGACGAGCCTGTGACAGCATTTCAGTAACGAGTGCCCCTTCTTGTAGGAAGGTGCCAACAGAGTCTCATGTGCTTCATTACATAGAAATGTGTCTGTTGACACTTCCTGGATGGGATGCCATTGGACAGACATGTCACCTTTCTCTTGTCTTTAGAAAGTAGCTCTATCTGTTAGCAGTGAAATCATGGTTGTGGATTTTCCCTGATTTCAGAATTCTGCCCCATACCTGCCCAAAGTTCCACTGAAATGGGAGATGGTCTTAAAGAGCACTGCAGGACTATGGGCTCCTGCTATCCTTCATACTGCAGGTAGGCTGTATTACATGTTAAAATAATTTACAATCTAATTTGCCTCTTCATATCTGAACTAAATGTGAGACTCTTAAAAACCTTCTGACTGAGGTTTACAATTTAAAGCTACTGCAGCAATTGAGTCTAGTTTTGTCAAGTAGGTCAAAGAAGTGATTACACTGACTATTTCTCAGAGGTGTATACATAAAGACTCATTTACACAAAATGGGCAGGTTAAAACAGTGTGGACATTTGCCAAATGATAGAAAAGCCAGCAAGTAAGACCTCATTTCCCATGATGGTGATAAATTTGAATCTGGTACTACATTTGTGTGACATCTCCTTTTCCTGTAGAACATTGGAAAAAAAAAAAAAAAACAACACCAAAGTATATAAACCCCAAACTGATAAACATTAATTGCACATGCCTATTCATGGCCATATGAACTCTGGAGCCTTTTTCAATATCTTTGCTCTAATTACCTGTAAATCTGCCTTTCCCAGCTGTGGAACTGTATTCCCTTTCAGGTTTCTCACCTCTACCTCAACATTATCATGCTTACCGATTTGGAGTTTGTGGTGTAATATCTTAGTTGAAACAGCTCATTTTTATTTTTTTGTCATCAAAAGAATACCCAGAATGAAAAAAAAACCTCCAACAGTCCTCTCAAAAAACAAATCAACCAACAGCCCATAGGAGGAAAACATCCTTCCAGTTTTGCTTGACACATATTAAATGCTTTATACAGTTCTCATCCCCTGTCTGTGAGGAGTATTTTAAACCTGGTCAGAGTGGCAGAATAGGAAAATATTACTTTTCTATGTGTAATTTTTAATTAAGACCATCAAATATACTGAATCCAGAAACACAGCTCCAAAAAAGGCATAGCAGCTTAATTTTTTTGTATGAGTGATACTAAATTTTGAAAGGATTTACTGATTCCAGACAGAGAGATAGTATAGGATGCCAAAAAAACAAGGTGGAGGGAATACATAAATATAATTGAGGCACAATTCAAATTCTGAAAGGGTCATCTGAAGAGATGCTCCAGTCCACATGCAGGTGGCAAGACTACTGGCCAAGAGATTCAGCAATATAAACTGCACACTACTGCAGAACATGCTATACTGCATGAACCGAAGTAAACAAATTCCTTACAACAGAAAGGACAAAGTCTCAGCTGTCAGGAATGAAGAGTGCCACCGACCTCTTTTGGGCCAAAGAACATCCTAAGAAGAACAAAGATTGTACTTTTTCTTTTGTTAAAAACAACCAACCAATTATTTTCAGTATATAGGAAAGCTGCAGTCTAGTAAATGACTTGCCTCAACACAGATACTTCTGCATTGTCCATAATAGCTTCTAAGAAGTCAAAGTTGTTTCTCAAAAGCCAACTCAACATCTGGCAAGAATGGGCTTTGGAGTAACTGACAAGTAATTCTTTAAATCCTGAGAAGGGTTAATGCCTAATTTCCTCATTTGGCGTAAATCAGAAGAACTGAAAGCTTAACATTGTGGATGAAAGAAATAGAAATGAGAAGAACTGAATCATGCTCCCTTATTATTAATGTCATAGTACCTACATAGCATGCTAATATGCAAAAAAAATTACTCCTGTTCTATGAAAGCTTGAAAATCCAGTATATCAACCTTACAAGATTTCAGAAATGAGACAAAAATCTTAGTACACCTGCTAGGTTAAAGGCAAGGTGACACATTTAACTTGCCTAACCTCTTTAGCATTACGGGAAAGAGCTCCTGTTTTCTACAGTTTAATTCCATTTATATAAGGCCCTGTTCATAACATCCATACATCCATTGGGACTGAATATTCTGAATTTAGATCTAAGCCAAGGAACAGAGTCAGAACTCAAGCAATCTTTTTCTGAGTTACAGAATGAAGGTTTAAATACCAGATCAGCCATGCAAGCCCATTTTCTCTAATTCTCTCTTAATTGCAAAATACCACTGTATTTAAGGTTGTGCTATGATATTTACTAAGCTTGTCAGACTCATATCTGGAAAGTAGACAGCTTCTGGTTAGAGCAAAAGAAGCTGGTTTTCTTCCAGCTGTTGGCATATAGATACTGTCCTATTACATGTCACTGCTCTGCTGTGCTTAGCTTTAAACTGAGAAACTAGGAGAGTCGTGAAATCTTGGGAAACTTGCCTGGTGAAAGAGTTCACATTCTGTATGTATGCGTGGGAGGGGGAAAGGTTGAGCAACCTGATCTCTAGACATTGGAGAGGCTTGAGAAGAAATCAATAGAGACACTTTTTGGCTCCAATTTGAAGGAGAGAGTGACAAGTTTAAGGACAATCAAAAGTCAGCTTTCTATTACACCATGACCAAATAATATGAAACTTGTTTTGGTAAGACCACAGTTTTATATGATGGTAGTATTGTAAAATCAATTGATGTTCTGATATTTTCTTTCATCAGAAATATTGAAAAACCATAAAGTAGGTAATTTTTAAAAAGCTTTCATTATCTGGATTTGAAATGTTATAAAAGATCTATTCCAAATATTTCTGCATGGCTGGTTGCATTTACACACTGGTTCCAGAAAAGCAGCTGGAATTGGGTCCTAAATATTTTATGTGTTTTCTCTTCTACATTCTGTTAGAAATACTACTGTATTTGATGATCTAAAGAAATGGTAGAGGACGATGTCTGTAAGTAAAGAAAATATCTTTTTATGACCTTTTGTTTCAGATATTCTTTAGGTCCAGTGTGTGTGCCCAAAAACTTGCTCAAAAGTTGGCTTTTGTGCCTTTTCTTAACATCAGCAATGTCAGCAGCATCATTTTCCATATCTCATTAGATCATCATGGCTACCACAAGACAGCCACTGTAAGATGGAAAATAAAGCTATTGGCTGTTGAACATACATCAATTAGCACAACACTTCCACCAACAAACTTTGTCTTAACTTTGCAGCACTATTGGTGGGACAGAGCTTTTAATCTCCTTTTTTATCTCTCTTCCCTTTTCCCTCTATCTTTCAATTCTGAATCACACTGCAATTGCACTGCTGATTGTTAGGCCAGAACAATCCAAACCAAACCATTTGTGCTGAAAGGTTCTTTTGCCTGGCATTTATTCTGGAAAGATACCTTGAAATATTTCTTTCAGAAGTGCTATTCTTCCTGTACTTACATTCATCACCGCTACAGCTCCACAGTACAGACATGTTTATTTCCCAAGCAGGGTTGGATGAGCCAGGGGGAACAATGCTGCTGAAGCTGTGCCTGAAATGCAACCCCTATTGTGGATCAGAACTGCGGTAAATGTACAGCTGTGAGGTTTGCTACTGTGGGCAGAGCTTCTCTGTCCACAGGAATATTTTTAAATTACATTACCCTAAAAAATCAAACAAACCATAGGCTCCTTTTGCACATCCTCCTACCAGCTGCAGAAACCCACCTATTTGCCTTAATTTGAGAGCCAGAAAAAACATATACTTAAAATGAGTATGCACCTCCCTTTTGCTCTCCTCCTCCCAGCTGCAGATTCCTATGCTGCTTTCCTGTTTTCAACCATGACCTCATAAATATAATAAACCCACAGAATATCACATTTTTCCCTACACCAGCTGTACTCTGACTGCTGAACCCTGCCTCATTTCACCATTCTGAGTCACGATATTCAGTTACATATAAAATATGTAAGTCATCTTTTCCCTTTGCCTTTCCAAGCTGTAAATTCTTCTTTCATTTTTCCCTGAAGCTGAAATCAGAGCTGTGTGCTATTCTTCAAAACCCTTAGTAACAAGATAGGTAAAAACAGATAGACTGTCGCAGTAGATCCAAAATACATGTCAGAGGACTGACAAAGTTCTTGAATTCTTCTCAATAAGTCAAAAGATGACAAAAAAATTAGATTTCTATTTTATCTTCACATTCTCAACTCTGCTATTCCTTCTTGTATAATTTTAGTAGTGTACCTGGGACTAAAAGCTACCACAAGCTAGCAGCTGAGGCTGCTAGTGTAGGAAGAAATGCACAAATAATACAGAGTGGTACTTACATCTCCCCTTTTGGGCACCACAGCTGGCACAACAGAAACATACATCTTTACTACATGAAAGAATATTAGGGGAGATATGGCTGTTGCACAGAATATACTGTGCTGCAGCAGTACAGGACAATATAAAAGCCTCTAGAGGCCAGTACAACTTAGAGGACTACTGAGTCCTTGTCACCTCTGCACAGATGACAAAGATATCCACATTGGCAAATGACAACATGAGAAAGGATGTGGCTTGGCATATGCTCTGTCTATATTTACAGCTTCTCTATTCAAATGTAGAAGAACAAAGGCCTTGGAAAACTGTCTGTGGGTTAGCTGTTTCTCGTTGGAGGACCTGCAATGGCACCGAAGGACTTTGATCTCAAGTCCTTGAAAATGAAAGTAAGTCTTCCCAGTTTGAGAGATCCGTAGTAATATCAAACCAGGGAATGACCTTCTCTCTTTCAGTTTGCTTTCTTATTTGTCTTTGCTTTATATTTTGCTCTAGAACACTTTCTTTCTTAAAAGTATTTTACTTTCTTATATACAAAAATAAATAGACTTTTCCCACTGTGAGCATAAAACATTTGATACTACAAATGCCCAAACCACCCTGTAACTCGCTGACAACACCTTGATGAAACCTGCATTTTCAGCATTTGCCCTTAATTTTAGACCAGAACTACAAGAAATAGAAATATGAAAGCAAAGATCAGAAAACTGCTCTCAAGCTATGTCTGTGATGGAGAGGCATCATTTGGAAGAAGAAAACATATTAGTGTGAGCCCAAGGGTCTTACTAGAAGATCCTTGGCTCACAGAAACCAGCTCCAGTAGCTCTATAACAACTTGTATCAGCCAAGAAGCTGATCTCGGCATTTCCTACTTCATCAAATAGCCTATTTCCCCCTTTGCTTCACCTGTAGGGAACACTCTTATAGTTCTTTAAGATCACTGGCAGAGAAGCACACAGACAAGCATTACTTCACTACTTCTTCTGCACTGAGCACTGGAGTCAACACAACTTACAAAAGCCAGTCAACAGCAACAAGCAAACTGATGTCCTGGGTAGGGAGACCCACTGCAGTAAGGATCAGAAGCATAGTGACAAGTCCCGCGCTGGGAATACTGGCAGCTCCAACACTTGCAAGGGTGGCGGTCAAACTGCAAAAACAAAAATCAAATGGGAATAACAGGAAGAGAAACATACACTTTCATTGCATAATCATGTGATCACTAGGAAGGTCTTATTTTTAATGAGTTCCTCCAGAAAACTACAACTATATGATAAATCATGGTAAGCTCAAGCCATAGCTTTCACACGTGTTTCTCCAAAAATATTTATTAGGGGAGGCCAGATCTATGGGGTTTGTTCTGAGAGCTGTAAGGGAGTTGTCGGAGAGCTTTAAGTTCTGTAAGTTGTTCATGACATTCAAATCTCTGGCCTGGTGCTGTTTTCTGAGTTCTACCAAAACATGCAGGGTGTTGAATACTGAGTTTTGATCATCTTTCTGAACAGACTTTATGAAGTTTCGTGGCTACAGGTTGAATATTCAGGGTGATTCATTTCTGTTTATTTGTGATACTTGAAGACTGAACTGTGATGTAATGGCTGAGAGAAAGTAGTTATTATCAAATGCAGAAGATTACAAGTCTTGGTATCCAAAACTCCTGCAGTACAAGCCAGTGGTATATCAAGCCTAGATACAAATCACCCTAGATGAAAAAAGCAAAATTCATCTGATTGTTTCATAAATCCAAATCTGTCCTTCTGTGTCTCTTATTTTTTGATGAAGACCAGAAAAGTGAATGTCTGTGCTCCAAATGTTTGTGAAAGTACAACACAGACCATAACAAATACCAACAACATTGGACAATCCTATGAAGAATGGAAAATAAATTTGTCAGAGAACAAGCCAAGGGGGGAGAAACAGGGAAAAGAAGGAGAGGAAGAGGGAGAGGGAGGGAAGGGAAAAAGGAAAGAAGAAAAAGTTATCTCTATCTTTTTAAACACAGAGATGAGTAACATGGTTGTAATCTGTGGGAGTACCCAACAAATCTGAAAGTGCTTCCAACACAGAAATAGGGGAAAAAAAGGTCTCTGTAGGGGAAATCCTTGACCGTTAGCCACAGAACTAATATGTGAGGATGTTAGTCTGATTTATAGCTGGCAGATGGCTGGGTCTGACCCAGACAATACAAGTTGCAGAGTGTTTGTCAGATGTCTGGGTTAGAGTGCAACCTGGCCTACTGAACACCCAGATAGGTCCAGCAGGTATGTGGGCAGGATGCTCTGCTCTGCTGTCAGGCTCTTACACATGGTGCCAGCTCCTTGGGCACTTCCAGCCTGAACTGGTAAGAGACTGCTTCCAAGCTCCGTGAGGAAATGCTGACAAACGTCCCACAGAAGCACTTACAGGCCTGGAGGGGAATGAAGCTAGCCCTGTTCAGGTCTAAAGAGAGTCTAGCTTAGCTATCATTTCCAAGATCACCCTCTCCCAAAGAAGACAGGAAATCAGAGGATCTACATGACCTATATGAAACAGCTATAGCTGATAAAAGGCTAACTAAGTCTTCATGAGTTTATGTCTGGATCATTTGAATACCCTCAGTATCACAAACTGGATTTGACAGACAAAACCTGATAATCTTTAATTCATTTGTACTGGCCCCTCAAGAGACAGTTCTTGTCATATTGTTATAGCAAAAAGGCTATACTGCATGAAGAGAAGAACCAATGGTTTTCTCACAGAGATCCCAAAGTTGCCATCTGCTTAGTAAATGGGAGTCACAAAGCTGGCTACACCAACCTTGAAATGGTGAGATCGGGAAGAGCTAATGGATCAGTCTCTCAGAGGATTAGAAGAGTAACTTGGGTTCAAGCCTACTGAATCTCTTGGACAACATCTGATTTCTGACTTGAATTTCTCTTGTCGCTATTTAGTTTAATATGTGGCATCTCTAAAATGACATTTTTCAGTCTTAGCAACAAACACGCACCATGACGGTCTAGCAACTGCCTTCATTAGAAGTGGCCTTGAACCTTTTACAAACCTTGGCTTTACTATTTCAGGGGTTGTCCTGGGTTTGAGTGAATGGTGATGTTTTGTTTGGTAGCAGGGGTGGTCCCCTGTGAGAAGCTTCTCAAAGCTCCCCCAGCTCCAAGTCAGCTCCAACTCTTCACCAAAACTGAGCCAAACAGCTGTGCCTCTGCGATAATGTATTCAAGGGATGTGGTGAGGAGGAGTCGGACTTGTGAGGAGGAGTTGCGGCAGCTGCATGAACACCAAGGTCAGTGGAGGAACGGAGGAAGAAAGGAGGGGGGAGGTGTGCCGGAGCAGAGACACCCCTGTATCCTGTGGTGAGACAGCAGGGCGTCCCCCCCTGCCACCCATGGAGAACTACGGTGGAGCAGACATTGATTTATGGCATGTGTTTATGGCCTGTGGTTTTTGCCTCGATGATCAAGGTGCTGTGCCCGAAGAAGGCCAGGGTCTCATGGGAAAAGGCAGCCCCGCTGCTGTAATTCAGTGCTGGGAGGATTGCAGCATGAAGGGGAGTCCCACGCCGGAGCAGCTCGGGAAGGGCTGCAGCTGTGGGAGAGAATCCAGTCGGAGGAAGTTGGTGACCCACGCCAGAGCAGTGTAAGGAAACACTGCAGTCCATGGGAGGGACTCATGTTGGAGAAAGTTTGTGGAGGACTGTCTGCTGTGAGAGGGGGACCACGACGGACCAGGGGGAACAAGTTCCAGCAGCTCCCCCCACCAAAGATGGCAGAAGTGGCAGCACTGACTGCACCCCCCATTCCCTGCCCCTGCGCCCCTGGGGGAGGAGGTAGAGATATCGGGAGCAGAGCTGAGCCCGGGAAGAAGGGAGGGGTGGGGGAAGGTGTTCTCAAGATGTGGCAATGCTTCTCACTGTCCTACTCTGTTATGTGTTGTTGTTAGTGTCTGTAATAAATGCGTTCTTTTTTTCCTTCCCCTAATGAGTCTGCCTTTTGCCTGTGACCATAATGGGTGATTTGCTCCTCCCGGTCCTATCTGTCTTAGTTTGGGCTGAAATAGAGTTAATATTCCTTTTCAGGGACTAGATGAGTGCTGTGTTTTGGATTTAGCTTTGGGTTTGGTATGGGAAAAATGCTGATAGCACACTGGTGTTTTCAGCTGCTACTGAGACTTCAAGGACTCTCCGACTCCTCATGTCCTGCCCGTGCGCAAGGGCACAGGGAGCAGGGAGGGAGCACAGCCACAGCACCTGACCCAAACTGGCCAGTGAAATATTCCATATCATGGAACGTCATGCTCACTATATAGAGGAGGGGTGGCTGGGAAGGAGCTCTCTCGCTTCCAGGATTGCGATTGTGGGATCTTGGTATCTCGGGGTCGCTGGCCGGGAACAGGCTGGGGGTTGGTCAGCGGGTGGTGAGCAATTACACTGTACATTGCCTGTTTATATATTTCTTTTTGTTTTCCCCCTGTCATCGTTATTGTTCTCGTTTTATTGCCATTATTAAACTGTTCTTATCTCAGCCTGCGAGTCTCCCTTCACCCCTCTAATCCCCTCCCCCATTCCCAGGTGGGGAGGGGGAAGGGAGGGTGATTAGCTGCGGGGGTTGGTTGCCGATCAGGCCCAAACCACAACACTATCTCAAATCCCAAGCCTGGCTTATTTGTCCCTTCTCATCACTGGGAGAGAAGGGAGGAGTGAGTGGCTGTGTGGTGCTCAGTTGCCCTCTGAGCTCAAACCACAACAGGGGTTAAGGCAGGAAGTAAAGCAATGGAAAATGTAAAACTAGTATAGTTGGGCAAGAAACATAGAATTAGACATCCTTTTTCAGGAGTATCTTTAGTGTTAAAAGGGTTTAATAAAAGAAAGGTGGGTGAGTGAAAACCACAGGAAGAAGGCAAACTTGGAAGCCTTCACTTGTGGTTTCCATTTTAACTATTCAAAGTGTTAGGTCTGGTGTCTTCATCAAGTTTTCCACTGTAAATTAACTTTAGCTGTAGCAGCCATAACTTTGCCATTGTTTCTTATTAGTCATCCTACCTAATATATCTTAAAACTCTATTACAGTAAACAGTCTTCAATCACTCTTACCTATTTTTAATGGGTACTTTTCTTTGTCCTCCAGATATTCACCTTAGTCTGATATAGGATAATTTGATATGAAAAGACTAGAGTTAATATTTGCTGGGTTAAAGATAAAAAGTCTGGGAGTATTCAGACTGTGCTGCAGGCAATCTCACCCTCAGCCTGGCCTATTCTCAGTCTATTTTGTTTGCTGTTCACCAAAGTCACAGAAAAAGTACAGGGAAACATAAATACATGGATACATTTTTTAGGTACACTTTTTCTTCCAATGCATATAAACAGATATATTCTAGAAAGTTAATGCCCCATATATCACTTGTAGCATCCCCTCTGTACTAAAAAAGGCATTGCATTGGACACGGAATGCTGTATTTCACATTGTACTGTCAACTGCAAAACTCTGTAGAACACCACCAGCATGCACTAAAGCTGCAAATGATAGAAAACATGTCACCAGAGAACCAGGAGCTATGTATATGACATCCCTTTGCATATCATTATTAGATATCCATAGATTTCACAGTGAATCCCACTGCTACTCAGAAGACATCCAACCCAAAACTCTACATTTTACAGTCTGTAGAAACAAAGCCTCCAAGTATTTTGAACTGACCTCACAGTAACTATCTGGCCTCCATCCAGCTCAATTCCATTCATCTGTGCAATGAAGATGGCAGCCACAGCTTCATAAAGAGCAGTTCCATCCATGTTAATAGTTGCTCCAACAGGAAGAACAAACCTTGTTACACGCTTATCAATGCCTAGATTTTCTTCAAGACACCGGAATGTGACAGGTAACGTTCCAGCACTGAAGGAGAGAAAGCAAAAAAGTACAGAAGACATAATTACAATAGAATATGTACACATAAGGCAGTAAAGTCAGAAATTTGGCTATTATTTACATTTTCTACTTCCACTTTTTTTGCTGTGATTCAAGCCTTTTTTACCAGATTTTTAAATTAAGCCTACATTTAGCTGGAGGTGGGACTGAGGCCAAGACATGTACATGACTTGAAGGAGGGATGAGAGCTGGAGAATATAGCTGCATTTCTCAGACTCATTTATTATTTCTTGCATTTTCTTCAAAAAGACAAGTTACAAATGTTTTCTGATGGATACAAATATGAGCATAATGACAAATGTTTTCTTTGATGGTAAATTTTGTTCTAAGTTTTCTTTGATTGTGAATTTGGTCTGAATGGAGAAATCATTCAATGAATGACAAAGCCAGGAAAAAACAAAACAAAACAAAACAAAACAAAACAACCCCATGCAGTTCCCAGACACTGGAGGACGGGAAAGGATATGCAACACAGCTGGAGGACAGGAAAAGTTGTGAAAGATGGTTAGAAGAGGGGAACAGTTCCTTGCACAGAACCACAGTGCCTTACCTTTGTGGGAATAGTTCAGGCTATTACATTCACTTGCTCAAAATCAAACACCTTCAACACAAAATACTCCTGAAAACAGAATATACTCTTGTTCCCTGTAGGTGCAAACATCTTCTACTTCCTTTCCCTAGCAGGTCTGCTTGCTTCAGGCAAATGACTTGCTGCAACACGCATGAAACCAAACACAGGAACACGTTTTGATTCCTTAATTTTATGTGTCATCTCTGAGGTCAAGTCCACCACTAAGTGAAGTTGGTTTGCTGCCTGAGAAGCTGTTCTGAAAAGAAAGCTGACCTGGGGAAATTCCTTTTAACTGGTGTTTCATAGAGAAGCAGCTGGAGCACAGCTGTTGTGGTTTATTTGCTTTTCTTCAGCTGACTTGGGGGAATTTGTCAAAGGTCATCACTATTATATCCCACTAATGCTGGTGTCATTTCCACTGCAAAAATACTAATTTGCTCATAGAAGAATAAGGAACAGACTCACCAAATTTTCTCAGATAAATACTTGCAGCATATTGGTGCTAGTGCCTTGCAACTGCAGGGTCTTTCCAACTCATTCATTCATCCACTACCATAGAGATGCTATTGGGTACAAAAAAATGTAATCTTTCCATTTTACAGATAATTAAACCATGGAAAAGGGAGATTACGGAATGATTGAGATATCTATAAAAATGCAGTGTCATAATAAATGTCCAAGGTTATCTGGAACAAACACATGAGGCTGACCTATCTGACATGGTATTTATGGAAAACCCAAACCCTTCTCAACCGGCAGATGCCCAAGTCACTTTCTAAATGACTCCTCTTGTCCCACATCTACAGAAACATGAGTTAGAAGATATGAACTTCTAGATTCCCCATCTTCTGCTCAAATGGGTGGGCTATTTATTCATTGTTCACAGAGGTGATTTTTTTTAACAGATACCAGTAAGCCAGATACACAGTACCAACCATCTGTGTTCTAGCATCTTCACAAACATATATGTAATTATGATTTATTTTACTGTGGTTTTAATCAAAGGTAATCAAATGCTTAACATTTGGTAGGTTTAGCCATTAGCCAATAACTACTAGTCAGTTTTCAAGTCAGTTCCAGCATTACTTTGCCTCCTACAGCAAAGATATTCCTATATCTTGTTAAAAGAAAAATAGAATAGAAAATGTAGTTCAGTGACACACATTGAAACTCAGTCAGATAAGGTTATTTTCCTTCAGAAATACAAGTCCCACCTTACCTTTACTGTTACAAATCAGATCATCAGCACAAGGTGTGCACCAGTCATAATTTACTACTTGCCATGAACCCCATCGGGCTCAGCAAGCAGGGACTATGCAAATATCTTGCCCCTTCAGTTCTGCCACCATGACAGCTGGGCAGGACATGGAGACAAGGTTTCTTTATTAGAAGAGCACAATACATAGGTGCCTTTCATGGTTCCTCAGTCCAGCCAAAGAGCTTTAATAGATCCTGAAGAGGAAGCATTTGCAACTTCCAGAGGTACCAGGTTAGACCATATCGTGGTGATTGTTGTCATGTAGTCACTTATCTGTGGTGCTATGAACTGGTCCACTTCTGTTTAGCCAGTAACTCTGATCTGGATAGCAGTCAGGTAGTAAAGCAAGTATCTAGGTAAATCCATATGCTGTAAACACTTTGAAACCCCTACATATTTCGATTTTTCCAGTCCAGCAGAAAAACATTACTTCATACTAAAAAAAAACATTTTGTGTATGGACACTGTAAATTTTGTTTTGAAATCTAAGTGGAAACTGGAACACTTCAGTGAACAAAAGCCTTAGGGGAACTGTGGTTTAGTGAAACTCTTGGACAGATTACATCTACTATAATCCTACATTGTTTATCACAGAGACACAGAACTGCTGAGGTTAGAAGGCACCTCTGGAGGTCACCTATTCCAACCACCTTGCTCAAGGCAGGGGCAGGTTGCTCAGGACTGTGCCCAGACAGGTTTTGTCTATCTCCAGGGATGGAGTCTCCACCATTCTTCTGGGCAAGCTGTGCTAGCATTCAACCACCATCACAATAAATCACAGTAAATTATTTTTCTTGTGTTCAAGATGGAATTTATTGTGTTTCAGTTTGTGCCCACTGCCTCTCATCCTGTCACTGGGCACCACCGAGAAGAACCTTGCTTCATCTTCTCTGCACTGTCCCATCAGATATTTATGCACGTCAGCCAGGTCCCCCAGGGCCTCATGTTCATCAGGGGAGAAGTTGTTCAGCACAGTGGTTTGGGTTGACCCAAAGAGGCAGTTGAATTACAGCTCTTTCAAGGCATTCCTGAAATTAAGATTGCTCAGTTTTCCGGTGGTCAGTTTTGAACTAGGCTTTTTTATTTTCATCTTTTTAATTAAAATGGAAGATTACATTTTCTTCAGAAATAAAATATTTATTTAATAAAAACACTTCAAAATATGGTATTTAACTGAAAAATATTTTCAACACAAGATCTACTGACTGCCTAAATGCAAAGTATCAATTTATTCCTGAGAGCTGAGTTGCCTACACATTTTGTTGAATCTGTTCTGTGCATTAGCAATGAGTCTAAAATCCTCAGCTCTTCAGTGAAGTACTCTTACTCTGCCAAAATGGATGAAAGAATAAAATGAGAGGCTTTTTAACTTCTTTCTTGAAACCTAGCACTGTTTATTTTTTTTCTCCAATGCAGCAAGACAAGCCTTAACATGCTTTCAAAATAAATAGAATTATCACTGTTTCCCAGTTGAGGAAAGAAGTACAGAGGTAACACAATTTGCACAAGTCATTTGGCCATGACAGAAAAGAAAACAAAAAGTGGGTCTCCCAACTCTCTACAGTTGGCTGTACAACCTCTCTAAAAAATCCCAAAGGCATGTGGTTATTTTTACTTATTTCAACACGGTTGGACTAAAAATAGCTTTTATTCAATGGCATAAAATGACTTTGCAGTGAAGTTCAGAACAACAGATCTATTCTCTCCAAACAGCAGCTAAAAATCTGCTAAAAAATGAAGCAAGCTGTTATTTCTCAAGTGTACCTGGAAGCTGTGCCTAGTGCTGTGATCCATGCCTGGAAAATCCCAGCAAGGAATGAAAATGGGCTTTTCCTTGTTATCACAAAGTAGAGCAGCGGCAGGAAGATCCCTCCATGGATGAGAAGACCCACAATCACAGTGACCATGTACATGCCAAGCTGTCTAGCAACTACTTCTAAGTCCTTGATTGCAATGATTTTTCCACAGATGAGGCAAGCAATGCCCAAAGGGGAATACCTGGAGGAAGAGAACAAGCATAGAGAGAACTAGTCTTTGAAGCGTAGTCATAAAAATTATGTTCAACAGAATATACACTAGAAAAAGAGTAGGGGGCTCTAAGGCTCAACACTCAATGGGCAGTTTTCACATCTTAAAAAATAATGGTCTTCTCCAGCAAATTCCCCATCTACTTCATTTTATTACATCCCATCAAATGGAATATACATTTCCTGAATATTATTTGATCCTGGAATAACATCATACAAGAATACTATAATGTTATGCAGGCTTGGATCATTATGAAGAGTGGTTTCGTATTTGTTCTTAATACACAACTTTTACAATCCATTGCTTATCTGATTTCAGGGAGTTGCATTATTTGCTTCAGTTGAACTATCTGTTCAACTTTTATCTTGAAGGCTGCAAACATTTCCATTATGTTTTTTCAATAATTTGAACAAATGCTTTTTGTTTATGGATTCAACGAAGATTTATGTGCTTTTCTTACTTAGAGTTTTTGTCACCTCAGTCATGTGATTCCTCGATGGCATAAATGAAAGTTTTAAATAGGATGATAATGGTAGCACAGTTTGGTAATAAAAAAATTTGAAAGGAATAGGTATTATTTTAAAATGTAATAATCAACTATAGTGAAAAACGCCTGAAAGCGCATGGATAGAAGACAATATTTACACCTGCACCGGTACAGGCTAGTATATTACATAATTTTAAGTGACATTCACTTTCTCTATCTGTTTTATAAAACTTAAACTGGGAGAAAGTAACGTGTGCAATGTGGAGAAACAGTAAACAGAATGCCTCTGAAAATAAATGGCAATGCATATTTTCAAAAGTGATTAGTTTATTTGGATGCTTAATTAAAGACAAAGGAAACTGACTTTCAGAATTAAAGTGCTTCATGTTTTCTGTAAGAAACATCTCATGGTCTCTCAAGCAATGTGCTTAAAACCTGGAAAGCCCTCAGTCACTTGAATGCAAGGCCAAGTGAGTATCATTAAAAGCCATGTTTCAATTAACATGACAACGTGTATTTCTTATAAAGAATTACATGGTGTCAGAGCCAGATGTCTGATTTGTTTTATGTTTCTGTAGCAATGCCGTGTTCCTGAGAGTCTGGAGTTGCCATGGGAGTTACAGGTCTCTGTGCAGAGAAATCATAAACCAAACAAAATGTAACTCTGCATAAAGAAATGCATTTGTCTTTATGATCAGACATTTAAAAACCTGCTTGTGGCCACAACAGTTCTTTAAAAATTCTAGACAGAGATGAACAAGTGGAATTCCTAACATCAATCTCCTTTCTCATGAAAACAGAAATAAAAAGCACATCAGTAAAAAATAAACATTTACAGTGAATTTCTTGAAACTTTCATGATTTCCTAACATTGTAACAGTGACTACTACAGAAAATTTATACTGTAGGCAAGGTATTATGTCTTGGGTGTACCAAGTGGTGCTAACTGAAGTAAAAGTAAATTCTAGTTCTTGAAGTATTATGAGAATATAGTCACTGTCTCTCCACAGAGTCGAGAGCATCAGGTTACAATAACTGTTGAAAGTAGTAGTGCTTTGTGAATAAAAACGACTGTGTTTCTATGCAGCAAGATCATCTACAGAAAAGCTGAAGCATAACAGGAATGCAAAGTCACTGCTTCAAGTTCTTTCTTTTGCTCTACACATTTCCACATCGTTGTTGCTATCTGCATCACTCTTGCATAACAGTTACCCTTTGAAACACTGATGATGGTGAAGACTCACACTTCAGGCACCCTGCTCCCTTTTCTATAAACTGTGTCCATCTAGAGCCTCAGAGAAGAGTCATACTGCAGTCTTGTTACTCAGGAAATCACATCAAGGGACACCAGGGAATCACAGGGAGCAATGAGCCATGATACCTGTGTTGTATTGGAGTGGCTATTTCTGCTCTCAAAGACTTAGGAGATATGAAACATGGTAGTAAAAACATAGCAATGTGGTTTTATGTTCTGAAAAACTGGTTTTGTGTGATATGGCCACACTTGACACTACATACAAATAGTTCTGGGGAAGCCCCTGGAAGAAACATCTCAAAAAAGAGAGAGAATCCCCTTCCAGAAATGTAAACAAGGGCTCAGTATTAACTGGGTAGTTACTCCCTTGAAGGCAGCTCAGGCCCCATTATTATGAATGGATATACTTTAAAAACAGGATGGATACCTTTCAGTGACCCCATTGTGGCGATGTTGTAAGACGTAGATTCTGCAGAAACTATGGGTGGAGGGACTACACATCACTGAAAACCACTGAAAACCACTGAAATTTTATCTAGTGGTCAAGTATTTTTACTACAGAAGACAGTGACTAAAGTGCGTTTCCAGGATTCTTTGTAATAATTACCTCCTAACTAATACCCTGGGAGTAGCTCCCATGGTATCACAGGAGCTATATCCCAGGAAGATTTGGATGTTTGGATGTTCTTACGTGGGGCATTCTTTCTTGCTTAGGTGTTCTTCTATGTAATGAACCTCCGTAATCAATGTCGCATTTGAAGACCTTTGCTGGAAACTGCATGTCTTGGATTTCAGTAAACAAAGAACAGAATACCTTCAGAAATATTACAAACTGGGTCCTAAATAATCTTCAACAAATAGAAAATAGAAATAATGTTGCTGTGGTTCTAACATACCTGTCAAGGCTTTAAAAAATGAACTATTTAATGACATTGTTTGCTAACAAACTGTGGTCACTATATGCTATATTAGGGTTTTATGAGGGTTATTTTTGCATCTTTTTTTTGTTCTAGAAGTTAGAAATTCAAACTTACCACATGATCATAGTTACTAACTTCATTACAATCTCATTCAGGATGTTGAAGAAATCCACCATCATCTTGGCCTGTTCTCCCATTTTCCCCATAGCAATGCCAAAAGCAATAAAGAATCCTATCAAACCTATTAGGAAAAAATTGCAAGACAAAAAAAAGCAAGTAAAACCATGGTTTTTAGGAAGTTTTTGCACCTAGTGAATGTCTTGATACTACCTACTAATCTGGTTTTCAGAACTATAGTGTATTACATATCTCTTGGGACTTTTCAGGATGGACTCACTCTCAACTTTCATTATCATATTCAGAACATCTTTTATTCTTCAATATTTTACTAAATACCAATTGCACAGTCCAACTGTGTTTTCTTCTTTTTCCCTGTTTTAATCCTATGCCATAATCTTCTCAGTGCCGTGCAACTGTTAGAAACCTCATAGCCCCTAGCAAATAGGAGAGGCAACACAGCACCATATCATGACTTCTTTGTTTCTAAAACAGTCACTAGAGACCAAGAGCATTCTTCTCAAGCTTTACAAAAGTCCTTTGATAGAGTCAACCTACAGACTAGTCAGTCCCAGAGTACAAGGAAAGGCTAAAGCAGCCCCAGAACATAACCTTGGTAGGCCAGGAGTATTCCAGTTAAATGAAAAAGATTGGGGTGGGAGAAGAAGGTGGGTATTGAACTTTAAGCTAAACCACGGAACTCCCATTAAACAGATTAACTTCACTGAAACCAGCTATGAGTGGATACATAATCACAGAATTCAGTACGAGTAACATTGTGCTCCTGAATTTAAATGCCAAGGGGTATAAGTCTGGAGTATTGAACTAACTGGGTGAAAAACCAAGTGCCTCTGTCATGTATTAGTTTGGAGCTGTGTCTCCAATACTAACCTTTACCATCCAAAAATTTTCAGCATCTAGGGTGGGATTATAATTGATACTGATAAATGGTTTGAATCTTCAGAAACCTTTTGAGGCTAAACTTTCAGTCATGATATAAGTTTAACAAATATGTGAACTCAGTTGGGAAATTCCAAAGGAAAAACCCATCAGGACACAAAAGCATTCAAGAGAAGGGAATTTCAGCTACCCGTACTCTGGGAAAAGACAGGCTGTCCCACATCCTCACACTGGGTTTAGCAACCAGATTTTTTTTTTTTTTTTTTTTTTTTAATTCCAGTCTCCTGGATATAAAGTCATTCTTTAGCACCAAGCTATCTTTGTTGAGTCACTTGAATAGGGAAGTGAAGTGTATGCTTGTGTGCTGCAGAGCATAGAGAAAGGATGAAAAGATTTTCAGTCAAAGACCAAGTAACTTCCTGGAATTCAGATTGCACCAGAAAATGTTAGTAGGTGGTTTTGTTTGTTAATTCCAAATGAGCTGCTGCATTAGTCATAAGAGTCAAGATGGTTCATATTTGCAGGAATTTGCCAGGATTGTACAGTTCATGCAAGCTGGATGGCAATTGCCCAATATTTTTACTTAATTCAAAACCAAACTGAACCACAGGAAAGCAAAAAACTCTGCAACATTTGAGCATCATTGGTCAAAATACTACAGCAAAACCCCCGCTTAAACTGTGCATTTCCTTTCTGCAGGAATTGTATTCAACCTTCTAGCTCTTTTCTTATCCATGACAGAGCCCACACAAAACAAGTCCAGCACTAAAAGTAATGCATCTCTCACGTTAGAAATACTGTTTCATTTCAATGCATAAGCAGAACTCCAGGAAAGAAAAAAGCAGTTGAGAGTAACAGCATAAGCAATGAGCTGCTGCTTCACACAGGGTGCAGAATGCCAATTTGCAGCTTTGAAAGAAAGTGGGTCCTCTGCCCACAGACACTGAATGAAAGGAGGAGCCATGGAGGCAGGCAGAATACAGAGGCTCCTGGCTCTCGTAGAGCAGGCTGCTTTGCAGAGAAACAAATCATCTCTGTTCAGCTTGCTGATGCTGTCTCCCCTATGTCTAAGCAAAGCAGCCACTACCAACCAACTCATCAAGACCTGGAGAAGCTCTGCAGGCACAGCAATCACTGTGTCAACAGAAGCAGTTCATCAGCTGTAAGGACTCTGTAAGGGGCCATTTGTTCCTAAAAAGTGATGGCTCAGTGGTGAGATAAAGCAGTGGTTTAGGTACTGACACATATTGTCCTACTTGGAGGACGCCTATAAACAGAGCATGTGTATCTTCAAGTGTAGGCGTGCCAATGAGGCTACAAATCGGGGGCTAATTTGTGACTGACTTCACCCGCAACCAGAAAGTAAGGTGAGGGAGGAGCACTCCTCTCTGGGCTGACAAAATGGTGAGTCTAGGCACAGAAGAGAAAATAGAAGTGGTGTGGTGGCTCTTCACTCCCCCACACCCTGCCCCAGTCCAAACAGGTGCTTCAGGAAGGGGTGGGAGATAGGCAAAGCCTTCGTACCACCCCCACTTGCTGGCTTGTCCAGACAAGATGGCACAATGGCAGTTGTTCATAATTTGCAGCTGGTAAAGGTCAGCAGCTAAAATGAAAGAAGAAGGGAGCTGTGACTCAGAGATGTGTCAAGCCTCTCTGGGATTTTTCTTAGGTGGTGCGGTTCACACCCCACCTCTCACTTCAGACTCTGCCTCAGGCCAAATCCTAATTCAGCATGCCTGAGACACCTTTGGGAAACAAATGAGCTCAGCTTCATCAGGGGGTGGGTAAAACACTGGCTCTTGAAGCTCTACCCCATGCTGTTTTGCCAATATGTGTTGGTATTAGTCTGGGTAGGCTACTTCTAGGATTAAAGGATATTTTGGGTACCTCCTCCATGCTTCCCCACTGTACTCCAGGTAATACCTGCAAAGCTGCCAATCCAGAATAATTCACTTGATTGTTTCTGTGATACAGTCATATTTCTAGTAAAACCACTGGATTTTAATCTCAGAGATTGATGAGCAGCCAGTAGGTTATAACTTTTGGTGATGGTTTGGGGAACCGAAACTTCCGCTGAAGAGCAGATCACACTGGCTACCCAGTCACAGCCAAAAGCTGTGTCATACAGATGACATATATATTTGACAGGTAAAAGGTTTTCCTACCCAGGACGTTCATGCCATCCTTAAATTCAAGTCCCTTCTTAATGATCAGCTGGGCTTCTGGTGGTGCTTCATGCACTGTCTCATTCATCATAGCAAAAGCAGAGTCGGTGACATTCAGTGGTTCTTCAATGGGTGGTGGCACCAGCACCTTCTTGGTGACAGTTTGGATCTGAAGGCAATAAAAAGGGAGGATGAGAATGGAAATAGACTGAATGTAGTCCGTATGGAAGATCAGGAAATAATAATAAAACATCTTCACTAGAAATTCCAGGGACTTATGTTTTTAAAGGATTAGACATGCATTCCACAACCTCTTACCCCCTCTTCCAAAAATAAGTTTGTTTTTTAATACTTCCAAGTGTCACAAAGTCCTGGGAGTCTTCCTCATGACTCTAGAGTGGAAAGTATGGCAAATGCTTGTTCCTTAGACTACAATGTAACATTTTACAGATAGCTAGCCCCTTTGTCCAGATGGTTCACAAATGGTGCTTCACAGATTGTATGTTATGTGCTGATACCATTTATTTAGCACCAAAAGGCAGGCATCTCTAAGATCAATCAGAGCAGCAACTCTGCAGTAAGGCTTGTTATTCAGGATAGTCTGCCCAGATCAAGTTATCACAGTTTGATGGTTAACTTGAATCAGAAACTTAGGACATTTCCAACACTTGGTGACTGAAAGCTCAAAATGGAATACACACAGCCCCCCTGAGTTCTCTAATTAAAATATTGTGAGTGACACATAACAGAAAAAAATATCAAAGCTAACAGATACCTATTAAATCAAATCTGACCACCTCAAAAAAGAAGACATCAGCATCTGAATGTATCTGGACTCCTCCTGGCACATGAAAGGCAGGGTCAAGGGAAAGCTGGGAAGGAATGGTAGGAGGAGAAATGAGCTTGAGTTTATGAATAGGAAAAAAGGGAGGAGAGAGTGGGAAAAGAGATCTGTGACTTGCTGCTTTAAGAAGGGACATTTTCCTCCCACTTCACACTTTGAGCCTTTCCGGCCTCTTCATGGCTCTGGGACAGGAAAAATGGTTAGGAAGCTATGACCAATTTGCCATGGTTTCCTACCTGCTCCCTACTTTCCTTGTTCCTAGAAACATGTTCGAGCAAGGCATCAGAAACAGTGCATTAGGTTTTTAAAGAACATTTGCACCTCCTTCCTGTTGAGATGGACATTGTAGTACTATGGATACTATGGATAATGATCCAGATTCAATCCATATATTTTAAAACCATGGGGTTTTAAAATACCTTACGTCTCTCCTTTCAAAAAATGCTGTCTAAATCTAGAGAAGTGGACATAGACAGAAAACCTACATAGCTTTGTATGAGAATCTCTTCAGTTGTCATGAAACAACCCAACATTCCTGCACGTTTACATTTTTTTCAGAGTTAAAATTTATCTGAGGTATGTTGTCAACACATTATTTTTGATGTGAGGTATCCAAAACGTAAGAACAGAGTCACAGAAATTAATCTTAGAACATTAGACTACACATTCACGAAGTCCACTAGTCACTTAAGTCAAAGGTCCTCAGCTCTTTTGCACAATGGCACAGTCACTAAAAATGCTGAGCCTAACACCAAGTTTAGATTTTGACAACAACATCTGAGATTAGAAAACCATTTAAATGTCACAGTCATATTTATAGATGATAGTCCCACTCTCTTTCATTGCACATAAGATTTTATGTCTCTGATGCAATAGCAGTTTTCATTATAAATTAAGACTTTCCTGTAGACCATACAAAAATTCAAGAGATATTGAAATCCCATGATGGTTCAGAATTCAGTTTGCAAATGAACCGTCTCAAAATTGCAATTCAATCCCTTCATTGCTTTCTGCCTGGTTGCAAGGGAAGGCATGTAGAATTCTCCCACAGACCACAGCTACACAGTACCATTGATGTGCACCCTTCAAAATCATTCTTTGGAGGATTTCTGAAAAAAAATGTTTCCTCCTAAGGCAGCTTGGAAAGACTGAATGATCATGGAGAGGGTCTGTATAAATGTAGGAAGAGAAAATATATGCTGACACCATTAAAAACACTTCATTTTCCTCCTAAATAGAGAGATGAGTAAGGCCTAATTCCTTACTGAGAAACTAAGGGCTAACAGAAGACACAAGTTCCATCTGGAAAGGATTGTGACTTACTTTGCAAATGAAAGGTGGCTTTGTGGCAGAGGCTTTCATTGGCAATTAGTCTGGAATCTGATAAAACTGGAAAGCCAAAAAGCTCAGTAGCTTTTTTGACTAAGTTTAAAAAACAATCAATGGCCCATAACTAGTGAAGTGACCTGAACACTGATATTACACACACTGAAAAAGCAGTATTAAGGTTCCAAGAAACTTATCTGACATGGGTTGCTGAATTCATATTTCTCCTGCTTTTTGTCCCTTTGTTGAGATATGTGACCACTTTCAACTGACCAGAAATTTAATTATCTTTTCCACAGTTCAAATGAAGGAAAGGAAGAAAAAAACATAAGCATCTCGCTCTCCCCTCACTCAGTTTTGCAAAAATACATTTCACATTGCATGTGATGTTTAGCCACCCACACTTTGACCACATGATTGACATTCCTATGATGATTTGGAAATATTGAGAATGTTGTCTCTTTAAACTCCCAAGGACTATGTGTTTTTATGTGAAAGTCCATGGAAGAAGTGAAGCAATCCAAGTCCTCTTGGCAGCTTAGGTTGACCTCCATTCTTCCACCCTCCATGGCTGCTTCTCCCTTCCCACCTCTTCTCTGCACTTTATTCTTTAGCCATAACCACAGCTCCATCTATCATGCCATTTCACATGGGAACACTTAAGAACAGGTTTGGCAACAAAACCTGTTCCATCAAAAAAAAAAAAAAAAGATGTCTGCATGATTGCCAAATAGGAAGGAAACAACAGGAAATATGTTTAAGCAGAAATTACAAAGCATGCATTTTTATTTTCTTTTACCCCTCAAAGTGAAGCTGTTTTGATTAAACATTGGTGAAAATCCTTTAGACAAAATTATCTACCTACAGAGCAAGTAACACATGATGCAAGCATCCTTCTTTCCCAGCATGCTCCAAGCATGGCCTGTAGGTGGGTCAGCTGCTTGACTGTACTATCCCCACCTAGTCTGGACTCTAATACAGCAACAGAAGTTATGAAAGGTTGGGTTTTGCAGTACGTTTCCACTGGCAACCAGCTGGAATGAAGATCATCCGTATATTACAAAGAGAGCATTGCAGAACCATCAGCTCTGTAACTAACAACCAAGATCAAATTCAGTCTGGGTGAAAGATCTCATAATTCATCAGCTGTTCAGCCCCAAGCCAGCATTCATGACCATATATATTGTATAAAAAGTCAGGGAAAAAATAAAAGTTTACTAAAAATCACTTTCAAAAACTCTAAAAAAATAAAGACAATGTAAAACAAAGCAGCTATAAATAATGTTATTTTATTTACCTGCTCAAGACTTAAGAACTGTATTTCTCTTTGTATCATTATTTCTGTCATTCACCTAAACAACGACATTAACTCTACAGACATCCATGGCTAGCAAAAGATGTAATAAATATTACCAAGGAGTAGAAGGATTTACCTGCTGAAAGCATGCTTGGACTAGATTTTCAGGGAACAGGTTTCGGATCAGATCCAAGAAAGCATCCAGACTAGATACTTCATCATTCTTCTTCCCTTGACCAAGCTGTTTCCTGAGTTTCGGATTCCCTGGATGGATGGCTAAAACCAAAATCACACCCAGCACAGCAGCAATAATAGTCGTGGACATGTAGTAGACCATGGCTCTTGTACCCAACCGGCCACTTGCTTTAGCATCTAAACCAGACAGTCCTGCAGTTTTTTTTTATTTTAAGAAACAAATAAATATATTGAAACTCGATATCAAATTCAATAATCATCAAATAAAATCCTTTATAATTTGAAAAGTTTAACGACTGCTTACAGGTACCTACTTTTGTCGTTGTGAAATTGTCACCACTAGACAGATTACTTAAGCTTCTCCCTCCAGTTCTTATGTGAACAGTGTCTGCTGCTACTAATTTGAAGACAACCATTTAGGAGTCCATCTTATCGCAGAGGAAGCATTGAAAAATAGAGAAGATATCATACCTTCTTTTGCCCTTGATTGCTCAAATTGGTCTTGACATGTGGCTGACACTACATCTTTAAGAAGGCTAGGTTTGATAGTGTCATGCCATTTTATTTGCGAGGTCCAATCCAGAAATTAGGTGAAATAGCATAATAAGAAATTTCTGGTGTTCAAGAAGGTAGTATGTGTGCATGTGTTTGAAAATAAATTCAGTGGATCATCTACATATTAAAGCCAATTAAGTTAATAAGAAATTAACTCTGAAATACACACTGCAACTGCAAAATCCCTGACAGGATCACACTATTCTTCCTACACCACAAAAACCAAACCAGGTGATATCTGTAGCAAGCATCTTAAAATATTTATGGCTAATAGATCTTACCTGTGATTAAACTGGAGATAATTAAGGGGAGGATCAGCATTTTTAGCATCCTCATAAGTATATCTCCTGGGAAGGCTATTAACATGATGATGTCAGGGTCAATAGGTGTTGCTAGACGAAGAAGACCCCCACACAGTGCACCCAGGATAACACCTCGAAGAAGGATGAAACAGAGCAGGTAGGTAACATAAATACACCTGAATGTGCACTGATCACTTAGAAGAACAGCCTTGAAGAAAAACGCTACTAATTTTTGTTACACAAGGCAGTCAATTTTTGGTACAGAGACAGATTTTGGAAGGTTTAGCCTTCTGATTAATTTGAGACTGTGACACGCTTACCACGTATCTCATGAGTAAAGAAAAGAGGTTCTGATGTAGAATCTTCCACCAGCTGAGCTTACACCTAATGTACTATTCCATTTCTACAAATACAAATTTGCTGCAAACCACAATGCTATTGAGGTTCACTAACATTGAATAAGCCTTGCAACACATTGAGGGCTAGTCAAATATAATCCATAGAATCTTAAAACTGTTTAGGTTGGAAGGGACCTTAAAGATCATCCAGTCCCAACCTTCCCCTTCCCACGGGCAGGGCCCCTTCCCCCAGCCCAGGGGGCTCCCAGCCCCGTCCAACCTGGCCTTGAACCCTTCCAGGGAGGGGGCACCCACAGCTGCTCTGGGCACCCTGGGCCAGCACCTCACCCCCCACACAGGGAACAATTTCTCCCTTACATCTCATCTAAATCTCCCCTCTTTCAGTTTAGAGCCATCACCCCTTGTCCTATCCCCATACCCCCTGACCCAGAGTCCCCCACACACCTTCCCTGTCCCCCCCTTTAAGCCCTGGGAGGCCACTCTGAGGGTCCCCCCAGACCCTTCTCTTCTCCAGGCTGAACCCCCCCAACTCTCTCAGCCCGGCCCCCCAGGGGAGCTGCTCCAGCCCCCCCAGCATCTCCGTGGCCTCCTCTGGCCCCGCTCGAGCAGCTCCGGGTCCTTCTGCTGTTGGGGGCCCCCGAGCTGGCCCCAGCACTGCAGGGGGGTCTCCCCAGAGCGGAGCAGAGGGGGAGAATCCCCCCCCTGGCCCTGCTGCCCCCCCTGCTCTGGCTGCAGCCCAGGGCACGGGTGGGTTCTGGGCTGCGAGCGCACGGGGCTGCCTCACGGGCAGTTTTCCATCCCGTAATCCCCCCCAGTCCCTCTCCTTGGGGCTGCTCTCCAGCCACTCCTCGCCCAGCCTGGATATGTACTTGGGATTGCCCCGACCCATGGGCAGGACCTTGCATTTGATCTTCTTGAACTCCACAAGGATTGCCCGGGCCCACCTCTCCAGCCTGCCCAGGTCCCTCTGGATGCCATCCCTGCCCTCCCGCATGCTACCGCACCACACAGCTTGGTATTATATAAACATAAAATCATGTTCATATAATCATTCTACAGTTGGCAAAATTGAGGTGCTAAGAGGTGAAGTGATTTATACAAGCCCATATAGAACTGACAGAATAGCCAGGGTTAGGACCCAGATCTTCAGAGTATGACATCTAGCTCTCAACATAAGAATGGTACCACTTGAAAACAAGGCCAGCACAAGTAGCTGTTTTACAAACTAAGAAAAGCCTTGCAGGCAATCTAGAATAGTCTTGTGAGGAAAACAGATTCAAGTTTCATTTAGAGGGGTTTTGGAATTGATCTGGAATACTGCACATATCATGGAAGAAAACTTGATTCTTAGTACTTATTTATTATTCTTTCCCTTTGATGGTCTGCATCCTTCTCTTTTCTTTGTGCTAACATTCTGAAATCACAAACAATCTCTTCATCGCTTATTTAGAATTGTACGGTGATAACACTCAAGCCCCCCTCTCATGATTGTGGCTGTTGAAGCATAGTCTAGGGAAAAAAAAGGTCATGTTTACCTTCATAACATGGTCTTTATGAATGGATATTTTATGTTTACATCCAGGAGGCCTTTGTTTTCCTGATCCCATGCCCAAGTCTCCAGTGTAGTAAAACTTGACACCAAAGCCTGATTTGAAGCAACTACAACTCTCTGAAGTATCAATTTGATAAAATGGAAAATATATGTGTATTTAAAACTTTTTCTGGAACTGCATCAGGCACCTTCTAAAGATGATTCAAAGCAAATACTGTTTAAACACTTCAGCTATATGGGTTTTGAAGGCTGAAAAATATGGATGTGAAATTTGCAGCTCAAGACCAGATGCAGCTGGTCTTTCAAACAATAATAAAACAGAGTATGTCTATGAATTTGTTGCATTTGGCTGTTGGGCTTTCAGTGAAAAAGAAGCAGGCAAAGAGCCAGTGAACCACAATAAAATGTCAAACTGTTCCATATTTGGAAGCTGCTAAAGCCAGAGGCAATATTCAGGATGAGATCACAGAGCACTGGCTTACAGCTACAGAGAGGGAGACAAACCTTAAATCTGTGGAGCATGAACTGAGAGATAAAAGATGAAGGAAAGGAAACTTTTAAGAGTTTTTGTCTTTTTTCAGATAACTGAGAGAAAAAATGAGTAGTGCATTCGGTTCTACTGAATGGCATTGATGTGTCTGGCCTTGGGATTTAGATGACTCCATTCAAAACCAGATACAGAATGTATCTCAGTGCGGATTTGCTCCATGTTGTGTCAGTAATACCCTGCACACCTGCACTAAAGCGATGATGCCTACGGCATCCCGTTTACTCTCTGGCTGTTCAGCTGGAACAGCTGATGACCACAGACAGGGTCTGTGGTACTACCTGAACAAACACACAGAATGCCCAAACCAGCAGATGTAGCTTACCGAATACAGTAAGAGTCAGGAGAAGATTCCTGTGGAGTGACTGGCAGAACTGCACACATACGTTCCTGGATCTGTGCTCCACTGGGCTTAAATGACTTTCATGCATCCGCACTTCTACTTGCTTAGGCATATTGTTGGCACTAGAATAAAAAATGAAAATCAAGTAAAAGTTATAGCACAAGGTGCCAAAAGTGAGAGGAAAGTCTGGATTACTTCCATTATATATAACTGGGGAATCTGATGCATATTTCACTGCTGCCCACATTTTACAAGCACTGTATATTTACTGATCTGAAGAATTGTCTGAAATGGCAATGGTTTGTCCTTCTAGAGGTGAAGCCTTTATGGTATTTTTTGCAGTTATCTCTCAAATGGTGGAGATGTAAACAGAATTAATTCACTGGACATATCATCCCAGCGGTTTCACGGGCTAAACTATTGGTCGTGAGCTGGAAAATTCAGTTTCCTCAAAGATCATGACTGTCTACTTAAGCAGGAGAGAGAGCTGAAGAACAAAGTTTCTATTAGCAGGAAATGCAGATTCCAATACCTTATTTAATTCCAATTCAGTAAAAGAGTTTAAAGATGAGGATTTATTTGCAAAATAAAGCACTCTAGAATATTTTGCTTTATCTTCCCAAAACATTTGATTTCAACATTAACATTTTATTGTAATATAATATGAATACTGAGGTAAAAATAATCTTTTTCAACATGGTTCTAATGAGACTTGAACAACTGCCACTGAAAATTAGTCAGAAAACTATGCATTCCTCAAGAAAACATTTGATTTCATTGAATTGGCAGTGTTTAGAGGAAAAAGTTTTTTGGCTAACTCTGGTTTATATTTGAGTAAGTGATATGCACATGAGTGCAGGACATCAAAAGCCATGCATCTAACTTTCTCAAGCCCTGAGAAATCATTAGCAATAAACTCCCTTTTTATATACACAATATTATAATGTAGTTGGAAAAAATACTAAAAATACTACTACAAATAAAACATACAGTTTCCTTAAGAGTTAAGGCTGTCTACTTAAATATGAGAAATGGATAAAGAACAAATTTTTTATTATCAATAAAACAATTTTTTTTTTGAGATCTGGTCTTATGCCAGATTAGGACACCATTTTAGAAAAAGGAAACCAAATCTTCCTCTACAACAGCAGACTGAGGTCTACAGACCTAAAACAATTCTGAAAAGATCTATAAAGCTTCGATGTTCTCAGTACTAAACAACCTCCAGGGAATCAAAACTTCTTTTCGTTATATATAGTATAGCTTGTTGTCTTCATAAAGTTTATCAACAGAAAGTTATGATTAGACCTGTAATATGAATGCAGTCATTTTGATGCAAGTACTTCAATGATTTTCCCTTTCAAAGTGAAACAGCATTTCTTTCCAATACATTCGGTTATTTAAAAAGTACCACCAGCAGAAAATGCATTAGAGAACACTTTTTTTTTTTCCAAGGGGAAAAAACCCTCCAAGTGTTGTAATTTTTATTTCATACCTTTTAAAATATTTTACAATGGTAGTGGCAATGAAATGTACTGCTGATGGTGAAATAACAAACAAGAATATTAGTGTACATTCTGACAGCTTAAATATGAGGCATGCCTACTTCTTGAAGACTTATGAATGCAAGCATCACAGATACGTAAGGATTATGCAGGGGATAATGTGCATAGCAGTTATTTAAGGAATTATGAGAAAAATGAGACAGTGACTACCATGCACATGGGCCACAGAGCCATGAAATCACAGGTGGACATGTGCCACAAAGTCAAGGAACTTGGGGTCCAAACTTTGCAATTGGGCATTACATCTAGTTTTACTTGCACTCTGAATATGAACGTATAACTTGTTTAGACCTATTATTCACTACAGGTTGATTATATATTCCTCTGAAAGTTTGAAATATGGACAGCTGAAAGTAATTCAAAGGAAAACCTTAGAGGCTCTTCCATTAGCAAATAATGAGGCAGGACTGGAATGGGACAGTAAACAGAAGCACTTGATGATGTTATATGTCTTTCTAGGATTTTCCTTTGGGCTAGGTTTAGTCTGGATTCCTGGACCCTTCCCCATCTGAAGCCATGACTATAGTTTCATATAGTCCAAAGGAAAGCCACCTCACAAATTTCTGCTTCTTCGGCTGTGAGCCATTCCTCTAATTCACAGGCAATAGAAGCATATCATTACCCTGACACCACTGCTGAAATAAGGCCTCCCATGCAGAAGTAGGCCACTTGTCCTGATCTTGTATTCAAGCCTTATTTCTATTCCCATCCATTTCTAAGTGATAGCATGGTGTTTGCTGGCCAGATTGCCCTCACGCTCCCAGTGTGGTCAGCATAGAAACACAGGTTCATGAAGGGAGGGGGTGGTGGACCTACTCCCACAGCTGCAGAGGCTACTTCAGGATTATACTCCAAGTGAACCAAGTCCAGCCGCACTTGAGGTGGTAAAATAACACAGAGCTTTTATTCGATAGCAACCATCTACTTCAAAAGTTCAGCCATGTAAAATGTAGATATCCAAATACCCTCTGAGAAGAGAAGGAAATGAAGACACAAAGCTCTTTAAGGACATTCCTAAATTTCCAGGAACTTCATACTGTATTGTGTGTTTCCCTCACATGCAAAATATGGGGTTTACATTCTCCAGGTCTTGAAGTTTGTAAGTGAATCTTCAGCATGGACTGAGATTTTGATTGCTATGGGATTTTTTTAAATAAAAAGACCCAATACTAAAATATGCTAACCATGAAGATCGGTTACAAAAAGCATTGACAGATGAATTTCATCACATGAAAAGTGGTACCACAAAGGATAATAATCTAAGCATTTGCACTATTAGCATTGCTTTTAGCAATCAGATTTTTACCACCAGACTAAAAAGTATTGTTCCAGGCTTTTAAGTACGTTGAAAGGGAGAAGAGAGGGGAAACAATAATGAAATAAAAACCTTCCATGAAGGATAAGCTAAGCTTCTTTTGTAGCATATGACAAAATCAGTATTTTGCAGCAGAAATTTTCTATCCAATTACTAGAAGATAAAACTCTGTTTGACTTCAGAATCATGGAAATGAACTTTTGTCTTATGCACTGACTCACAGAGTCATAGAATCATAAAACTGTTTAGGCTGGAAGGGACCTTAAAGATCATCCAGTCCCACCCCCCCTTCCCACGGGCAGGGCCCCTGCCCCCAGCCCAGGGGGCTCCCAGCCCCGTCCAACCTGGCCTTGAACCCTTCCAGGGAGGGGGCAGCCACAGCTGCTCTGGGCACCCTGGGCCAGCGCCTCATCCCCCCCACAGGGAAGGATTTCTGCCTTACATCTCATCTAAATCTCCCCTCTTTCAGCTTAAAACCGTTACCCCACGTCCCATCCCCACCCCCTGACCCAGAGTCCCCCCCCCCCTCTCCTGCCCCCCCTTTAAGCCCTGGGAGGCCGCTCGAAGGTCCCCCCGGAGCCTTCTCTTCTCCAGGCTGAACCCCCCCAACTCTCTCAGCCCGGCCCCCCAGGGGAGCTGCTCCAGCCCCCCCAGCATCTCCGTGGCCTCCTCTGGCCCCGCTCGAGCAGCTCCGGGTCCTTCTGCTGTTGGGGGCCCCCGAGCTGGCCCCAGCACTGCAGGGGGGTCTCCCCAGAGCGGAGCAGAGGGGGAGAATCCCCCCCCTGGCCCTGCTGCCCCCCCTGCTCTGGCTGCAGCCCAGGGCACAGGTGGGTTCTGGGCTGCCAGCGCACGGGGCTGCCTCACGGGCAGTTTTCCACCCACCAACCCCCCCAGTCCCTCTCCTTGGGGCTGCTCTCCAGCCACCCCTCGCCCAGTCTGGGTTTGTACTTGGGATTGCCCCGACCCATGGGCAGGACCTTGCATTTGATCTTGTTGAACTCCATGAGGTTTGCCCGGGCCCACCTCTCCAACCTGCCCAGGTCCCTCTGGATGCCATCCCTTCCCTCCAGCGTGCCACCGCACCACACAGCTTGGTGTCATTGGTGAACTTGCTGAGGGTGCACTCAATCCCACTGTCCATGTCTCCAACAAAGATGTTAAACAGCACTGGTCCCAGCACTGACCCCTGAGGAACGCCACTCGTCACTGCTCTGCACTTGGACATCGAGCTGTTGACCACAACTCTTTGAGTGTGAGCATCCAGCAAGTTCCTTATCCACCAAGTGGTCCATCCATCAAATCCATATCTCTCCAATTTAGAGACAAGGATGTTGTACAGGATGTGTCAAATTCTTTGCACAAGTCCAGGCAGATGATGTCAGTAGCTCTTTACTTATCCATCAATGATGTAACCCTGTCGTAGAAGCCCACCAAATTTTTCAGGCATGATTTGCTCTTCGTGAAGCCATGTTGGCTATCATCAGTTACCTCCTTATTTTCCATGTGCCCTAGAGTGGTACCTCAGCCTTCTCCATATCCCAGGTAACCAGGTCTCCTGTTTCCTTCTAGAGAGGGCCCACATTTTCCCTAGTCTTCCTTTTCTCCTCACTACCCTAAGGATCTTGAACTCCACCAATTCATGGTCACTGCAGCCACAGCTGCCCTTGAGCTTCCCATTGTCTACCAATCCCTCCTTGTTCATGAGAACAAGGTCCAGCATAGCACCCGTCCTTATTGGCTCCTCTATCACTTGGAGAAGGACGTTACCATCAATGCATGCCAGGAACCTCCTGAATTGCTTATGCCCTGCAGTGTTGTCCCTCCAACAGATACAGGCGTGGTTGAAGTCCCCCATAAGGATCAGGGCTTATGAACATGAGGCTGCTCATATCTCTCTACAGATGCCCTCATCTGCTCAGTCTTCCTGGTTGGTTGGCCTGTAGCAGACCCCCACTATAACTTCTGTCCCTGCCCTCCATTTAATCCTGACCCATAAGCTCTTGGTCGGCTCCTCAACCATCCCCATACACTCCAGCTGTTCACTGACATAGAGGGCAACTCCCCCTCCTCACCTCCCCTGTCTGTCCTTCCTAAAGAGCCTGTATCCATCCATCCCTTGTGCTGGTTTTGTGCCTCTATTACATCTTGTAAACAATATTTAGCTCCAGAAGAATGCGGAACTTTTGGCACCTGAAACCTGCGGTCACATAATGACATAACTGCAAGAAGTTCCTACTGAAGT